CTCTCAAGGAGTCGTCCCAGTACGAGGCCCGGGCCAAAGCGGTCGGGGAGTTCAACCGGGGGCACCGCTGGCAGAAGCGCGGGATCGCGATCACGCCCGTCATCTTCGACGCGACCGCCTTCCCGCGCCCGGCGAGGTGAGCTGTGTGAATGACGTCATGCTCCTGTCACGAATGGTAGGCAGCAACGTAAGCAAGACGTGAGAGTGGGCCTTCTGAGAAGAGTCACGGATATTGGATGGCTGATTTGAGGTGCACGGTTGACATGTCCCTCCTTAGTGGGTGGAGAAGCGTGAGATTCTGTTGGAATTGTTATCGAACGGCTGGGTAACCAGAAGCATTCGAAGCTGGGCAGCATTAAGCAGAGGCTCAAGAAACCGAATGGACATTGTGCTGTTGGTATCTTTTCCAGGTGCCCATCTTGCTAGTGTTAGTACATACCGTTAGTCTCAAGCGGGGGCCACCAGTCTCAACCTTTGCATGGCCGATCAAACCCGTCGAATCTCTACCGAGGTTGTCAAAGGCGTCTTCAAGAGTCGGCCACGTGGGTCCAAATCAGCCACCTGGCTAAACATGATTGATCGGCTTGTGCAGAGTCAGCGTGTTCACGGATGGGTCCATTATCATCGACTGCACCGGCGTTGAGATGGGCCAGGGTTTGCATACCAAGGCGCTTCAAGCCGCGGCACATGCGCTGAGCGAGCCGTATGGTGGCATGGAGAACGGGGTGGACTTCGCCAAGATGCGCGTCGTGGACCAGGACTCGCAGGTAAGATTCGCTACTTTTTTTCCGGTTGGATATAGTTTTATGGTTCTCGGTTCCTTTTAGTTTGAAAAGGAACGAGCCGTATGGTGGCATGGAGAACGGGGTAGACTTTGCCAAGATGCGCGTCGTCGACCAGGACTCGCAGGTGTGAATCACAACTCGAATGATGGCCCTGGGAGCTTCCTCTCTGCTTTTGAAGTTTGATATCTTACTTCGCGTCGTCGACCAGGGCTTGCAGGTGAGAATCGCTACCCCTTTCAAGGCTGGGGAAACTTCCTCATGTGTAGTTCTTAGGGTTACCAAGTCTTAGGTTGCTAGTGGTACTTCTTTCCTGAGTCTACCACCTCTCACAAGATCAAAATAACAGCAAAAGGAAGCAAATGTTAAGATGCACACCGTTGATCAGGATTTGCCGGCGGAGACGCAACGCCGATATTTTCTGACAAGCGTTCACTGAAAGCATTTGCCAGCTTCAATCAGTGGTTGTGTAGGTAGGGATCGAGCGTAACAGCATGCGACCAATGGATTCTTCCGTACAGAGATTCACAAGCAACACGGTAAATTTGTCAATGCTTAAGAGGGCATTTCTGCAGGGCGTGGCAAACGCCCGTAATGTCCGGCGTTGCCGTCAACCGAAGTATGCCGTTGTAGCTAGCTTTTCCGGAAAAACGTAAAGAAAAAGCAGAAGATCTAAGATCGCCACAATTTGCTCTAGCTCAAACCTCCCGTTTGTCACACAGACCGTAAAGCTTCTAGATCTGTGCAGTCACTGAATGCTGACATCACCTTAAAACGTGACGTTTACAGGGCGTGGTGAACGCGTCAGTGACAGCTGGCAGCACCGCAAGCGAGGCGGCCTGTGAGGCAGTGCGGCGTTGCTGCGCGGATCTCACGAAACGGCTGAAGCCGTCGCTCGACGTGGTGAAGGAGTCGGCGGACGGGAAGCCCGTCAAGTGGGAGCAGGTCATTGGAAAGGTGAGGTTCTGGGTTACTAGGGTTTTGGGGGCTTGCGGGGTTTGAAGGGTTGGCGTACTTTGTTCCATTCTGGGGCTTGGAGGTTCTCGAAACTGGTCGCGCATTCGAGCCGTGCTGGTTTGGAGTGCAGAGGTAGGAAGGTGACAATCACACGTCTAGTAATGGATGACAACGGCAATCAAACGCCCGACAGACAGGGCTCAAGTCAGGAGTTTTGATGAGACAATCGGGACGGCGCCGCACTATTGCGAAGTCCTGCTAATGTCGTGTCTTTCTTTGCCACGGAGCCAAAACATGGCCCCTAAAGCTCCGCCCCGTGTTTGTCGCGCAGGCTTCCATGTCTGGCGTCCATCTTTCCGCGGAGGTCCTCTTCAACGGACAGACGGAAGACCAGAAGCCGATCCAGTACTTTGTCTTTGGGGCGGCAGTGTCCGAGGTACGCTCCTCAAACACTGTTCACTTTTCGAACATTGCGGACATGCCTCAATTCGCTATCAGTTAAAAGAGGCATTCTTTTAGCAGCAAGGATCGACGTGGTGGCTCTTTGCCGGTCGTCACGAAAGCTATACTCCGCCAGCATCCCCTTTGGAGTACACCTGATTGGACAGGCCCGACAGGGGTCTACCAAATTTTCCATCCGGAAAGTCTGGTCGTATCGTGTAGGATCGAAGGCTTGTGTTTGACGCTTGAAAAGAATGTTGCCTTTCGCAAAGCGGCAGACGTTCTGACTTCTTGCTTGGCTTTGCCTCTGAGCTTCACAAACAAGCTCGCCAGCACCGGTCGCATCTAAGAAAACTCACAACACCATCAATAGCATAGATCGAAAACCTTACGTGTGCTGTTCGAACTAAATCAGTGCTGAGCCTCGGCCTGTCGGCAACTCACTTGTTGCCTTTCGGCAACCCAAGGCTCACTGCCAGGCGTTCATCAGAAATGACCTCAAGAGCTTATTAGGGTTAGCTCCAAAACTTGTTTGTTTTTGCAGGTCGAGTTGGACGTCCTAACTGGGGCGCACACCACCGTCCGAACGGACATCCTCTTCGATGCGGGCAAGAGCCTAAATCCGGCAGTTGATATTGGCCAGGTGCGCAGGACAGAGCTCAAACGCCGCCACTTCGTATGCAGATCTTTGCAAACTTTTTCAGCATGGGAACCCGCAAGTCAACCTCGTTACGATCGTTACTGGCAGTGCCCATTTCCCGCCAACACCCTGAAAAGTAGCGGCTGTAGTCAGGCTGGTGCTTCTTCCTTTTTCACTCAAATTGCCGCTCGAGGATGCATTCACAAAGGTTTGTTGGTTAGCGCCTCCAATGTTGCAAAGTGGGAAGCGTCCCGTGTCTCTTTTCTGGAGGTCCCCGTGTTTCTTGTTTAAGAGGTCCTTCAACGGCTGGATTCCTGATGGTGAAGAGTGCTATGAAGGGTTGCGTCAAACTGGTGATGCGCATATATCGCTCGAACTCTGAGCTTATTGTGAAACTCAAACAGTCACCTATGGTTGACCCTTTCGCTGGCGTGATCGACGGCCCAACCATTCTGCCTGTTGCGGACCTGACTCGGTATAGAACCCAGCTCAGAGACATGAGATGTGATACATCTAAGCAAGAAAGTGTACTAGCGAGAAAGGTGTCCTTCGTTCGAACGGCGTGTTCATTCGAGCGGCAAAATAACCCCATGTTCCGCACAGCTTGGAAGCCACATCTTTAAGAAATTGAAAACCCGTAATTTCTTTCATAATCGAAACGTCATTCTGATCCTCTCTTCTTTGCAGATCGAGGGCGCCTTCGTTCAGGGCATGGGCTTCTTCACGAGCGAGGAAGTGGTCGTGGACGCGGACGGCGCGTGCCTGTCGGACGGCACCTGGACGTACAAGATTCCCTCTGCGGACTCCATCCCCCGGGACTTCCGGGTCGAGCTGTTAGGGAACGCGTCCAATGACAAGGGCATCCTGGGATCCAAAGGTGGGGTTTCAAAGTCTCAAACAAGGTTCTTGAAGTCGGTTTGCAGTTGTAATCAGAGTTTCTTGAGGTTTTCGGACGGCATCTGGACGTACAAGATTCTGTCCGCGGATTCCATCTTGCGCGACTTCCGGGTCGAGCTGCTCGGGAATGCTTCAAACGACGAGGGCATTCGCGGCTCCAAAGGTGAGCTCTTTTGGTCTGGAATCAATTGTTGCTGTCAACATGTGTTTGTACTTTGAGGCCCTTCAGATGCTCGGATGGCCCCTGGGTGCACAAGATTTCCTCCGCAGACCTCATCCTACGCGACTTTCGGGTCGTAGATTTGATTTTTGAAAGTCTGATGTCTAAAAGTTTGTTGATGTTGAAGTCAGCTTCAAGATTGTGGCTTTTTCTGGACAGAGCCAAAGAGTTGAAGCTTTTTCCGATGATCTCAGTGAACTTAAAACGCAACGGAGCGGGCTGGCGTAGTCTCGGAGCAGCTACTATCTTGTACCTCGCACACCGCCAGCCATTTTCCATTTTGCTTCTTTTCGTCTGCTTCTGTCCTTTCTTATTCCAGATTACTTTCTGGTGCAGCTTCGGGGGAGCCCCCCCTGCAGCTGGCGTGTTCCGTTCATTCCGCACTCCGCCAGGCTATCACCGCCGTGCGGACGGACGTCCTGGGGCCGGACGCGCCCTTCTTCCAGCTGGACGCGCCCGCCACGATGCCACGTGTCAAGGCGGCGATCGGGGCTGACGTGGTCACAAAGTACCTGGAGGGCGTGGCGGGGCCTTGAGTCGAGGTGAGCGGTAAGCATCTAGTTTGTCCAGGGTATCAGGCTTTCAGGATTCAGGGGTTTGAGAGTTGAGGGAGTGTGCCGAGGCAATAGCGCTTTATTTGACTGCGAAAACTGATGCATGTCACTTACTCTGAACTGGACTCCGCTTTAGTCGTTGCTTCACTAAGTGAAACAACCAGGTTAGATCTAGAAGCGCGCCGTACTGATTCCACGGGCCTGAGTCTTCGTTCTGATCGGATTCGTGCGTTTTCTCGCTCTAAAATGAATGTTTACACGAGGCCTTTGGTTTTGCAGGAAGTGATCGAGTTTCCCTCGCAGAAATCAAGAGCTGAGAGAGCACTTCAAGGGTTGCTGCAACGGTTTGCATCTGGGGTGGTTTGCCATTTGGGAACACAACTTTTGTCTGTAAAAGAGTTTCTCAAGCGCACATCCGTGCGTAGCTGGAGTTGATGTTGTACATAGTGCGTCGTCACCGAACGATCAGTCGATAGTTCGCTCCTTTGTTCATTCGTTAGATGCCCATGAGCACGGAAAGGTGAAAGAATACAGGCTGAGCCTTGAGTCGATCAAAAGTGCAAAGTTGAGAGTTCGATGCACAGCAAGGTGTGATCCGAGACGATAAATTGTAGACAGCATATACGTAGGGTCCGCGTAAGAACGCCCTTAATTCTGCGCAAGCATTAGACCCCACAGGTCGCATTTTGGTTTGATGTTGAAAAAACATTGCGCAAAGAAACACCGGATGCTCGGTTTTGAATAGAGAGTTTTCTTTCCGCTATACTGCAATCACTCAGTGGAGTTGAACACCCGGCCTCAGAAGCTGGTTGAATTCTGGAGCCTTGCATCCAGTTAAAACGAGTACGGTATAGATCGGACAATATTTCATCATTGCATAACTTCAATGTCAACTATGACAAAACGGCGATCACTATCGTCGGACTTCCAGATCCAGACGCGCACGGGCCCGGTGTTCGATCAAGGCATTGCCGCACTTTGAAATATGATATCAGCCCATGTGATGGTGAACGTCATGGACTCAACGTATACATCCGTGCCGTCAGGATCATCATTTGTGCAATCTGCCGTCCGAAACTAGTACGTGCCAATCGTGCGCAGCAAGAGGTTATATGATTCATTTACAGGCTTTGCAACACCCGCCAGCTCGCGTACGTACATGGTTTAATCATACGGTGCACGCCCATTGACGTGTTTTCTTAAGTGTGTAACACGTATACGTAAGCCAATCTTGTGATGCTTGGGGGGGCTGTCTTTTGAAAGTGTTGCGACCATAATTATGCTTTGTGATGACCTCAAGAGCGCATGGTGGACACGGTCGGAGGCGCTCTCCAAGGTCGGAAGGCACATAGCTGGGCAGGCACACTGATGCGATGCAGCTTTCCTTAGCTGTTATTCTATATTATACAGACCGTTTCTTTCTTACTCGAGCTACACCAAGTTCTTGTTGTCTGACAATATTTATTATCACTGCCAGTCACAGCTCCAAGTTGTATTCATTTCTAAATTCAACGTAGATTACCGCCTCCCTGTCGCGCTCTGCGCGTGCGCCATCGTTGCCGGCGCAACCGTCGATGTCGGCGATCGGACGGCTGAAGTCGTCTTCCCGGGGATCGCTGACGGCAGCAGATCCCGCTCAATTCGCCCGTCTCCTCGCCGCTTGTCCAGCCACATCCGGCACTCGAAGTGCCACTGCTGGCCTGACGTCACGTTTTGGACGTCGACGGACTCGCAGAACCAGCCGGGAAAGAAGCCGCTGCCGTCGTGGCCCAGCCTGGAAGGGTGACGGAAAAAGTGACGTCAGCTAGGAGACGCAGTCTCGGGGGAAATGAGATTGCCCCGCACGAATCGTTGCGAAGTGCCGGATTGGGGCTTCCGGAGAAGGAATCTGGCTGCGGTTAAATGTCGTAAGGACAAAGATTTATCAAGCGCCTGAAGGTTACCACGGTAGCTGCGGACGCAAAGCGAGACGGTCAAAGACCCGGTAAACTTAACATCGTAATCACACTTGTATCTCGGTAGCAGAACTTCAGAGGCGTTGTTACTCCCATGGAAGCTCACTGCCCCTTTCGTGCAACGAAGTCTTGAAACACCCGTCCCGATGGTGCTAGAAAGTTGCAGATTCGGGACTACTCGAAAGCCCACGTTTCTTCGCACACTATAACACCAACCAACTGTGAACGTACATAACTTACATCTCAATTGCGTCGTTCCTTACCGTAGCGCCTTCACGAAGCCGACGTCCAGCGTCCGCACGACGAACGTGTCGCGGCAGCCGCGCTGAAAACTTTGCGGGTTTTGGACGAAGTTGGACGGTCCGGAGTTGCCCATGTCGCCGAACAGGCTCGCGTACACGCGCGCGTTAGTGCCCGCGAACATGCGCGCGCCGGTCATGGTGGTGAAGCGGTACTCCACCTCTGCGAGGAGGGTTTTACGGATCAACCTCGAGAAAAATGGTAAAAAGTCGAGATAGTGATAAGGTAACCGTACTGGGACGGGTAGAGTCAATTTAGTGGTGAACGTGGGTAGGGGGTTTTAGTGTTAGTTGGGGCTTATTGTTATCTTGGTTTTCTGTTATCCTTCGTCAGTTCCGTGTTTCACGGGGAGGTTTAGCAACGGGTCTAATATAGGGAATAAACACAAATGTGAAGCGTTACTTCACCCCTTTCAAGGTAAGATGAGAATTTCAAGGGAGAATAGCAACGGTCTCAGAAGTGGGAACCAAGAGCGCTCTTGGGTTTCGTTGAAAGCATTTTCAAAGGAACCCAGAATAGCCGGGAGGACCTTCGATGACCTCTCAACCAAGCCACCCATCGTTTATGAGGGTCAGGAACCGAGAGTTTTAACAAGCAGAAGACAAACTCAGAGATGAAAGACGGTAAGGTAACGTCAGCAAACGGGGCAGGGCAAAAACGAAAAGGCTAGCCAGTAGTTCCGCTCCTACCTTTTCGTTCCCGTTGCCGGGGTGACCCGACCTGCTGCGACAGCGCGGAGCTCGTGCGGTTAAACGAAACGGTCCGGCTGGGCTCCGGGATTTCCGGCGGCGCCGGCGGGGCCGGCTTCTCTACAAAGAGTTCCCGCTCAATGCGGTGGTCGTCCTCGCGCTTGTCCAGCCACCGGTTGCACTTGAACAGGTACTCCGCTCCCGAGCCGCCGCCTGCGAGTTCCAGAATTTATGTTAGAAATTTGTTGGGGGAAACGGTATCGTAGTCGGATTCCTCAACCATTTCTCTTTCAAAATGTTCTCAAGCGCATGTAAAGGCACCCAATTGCACTTGAACAGGTACTACACGCCCGCGCCGCCGCCTGCGCTTCGCCAGGGTTTAGGATTTGGAGTCTGATGTATGAGAAAGCGGGTTTTTTGCTCAGATTTTCGACTGCATATCTCGTGAACTTATACCCGCGCTTGTCCCCCTTGAATGCATCAAAAGAATTACTCCGTGCCAGGAATTGGGTTCGGATTGTCGTGGCGGGATCACGTTCTGAGTAATGACGTCTGAAAATCCTCTTGGGGATTGTTGCATATGGTATCCCAGGCCCTTCAGTTGCTTACGTCATTGTGTTGGCCCTTCTCTTTTTTGATGCGACGGCTCATGTCTCTGATACCAAAACTTTCTCGTTGCGACGCAAACGAAAAGGCGAAACGACAGCAAGAAAGTGACGGAGCATTAAGATTGATGACAGGAAACGAACGAAGGAGAGCTCCCTCCAAGCACGAGTTTCCGACAGCCAGCCAACGTAGGTATGACGTCAGCCCGACTCACCTGCTGTGACGATGATGTGCGCCAGGTGCCAGCCTGCCCCGAAGCCCTTGTTATCGTGCCACACCCGCAGCCGCTCAAGCGCTCCGAGATCCTCGCACTCGAACGTGTGCTCAGTCTTGGCGCCCCGGGCGAACCGACCCCGCGAACCTGGAAGTTTAAGAAAACCGGTAATGAAGACTCATTTTCTCGTGACCTGTTCGTGTCTCTTATGCACGCTCAGGCATTCGGCCAAATTCAGGCCCATCTTTGAAGTGGGCACACATGTCGAATGGTAAAGATGAATACGGGATTGAAGGCCAAAAATTCGTTCAGGAACCCGATTGTCCACACCGCACTTCTTGAGTTCCTCCAAGTATACGCACACGGGCCTGAATGCTATTCTCACTTAAAGGTGAAAATAGCATAAACCGCCATTGTGGAGCTTCTTTCCACTTGTTAATTCGCCGTCTGGGCTTCAGATACGTCCTGAATGTTGAAACTGATTGAACCAACACTTCGCAGAATTGCAACGTTTTCAACCAACACGGAGGCACTAAACGACAAATGACCGAATATGAGGCGAATGAATTCGAGCCGCCCACCTGGCAGCCGCTGCTCGGCGCTCTCTCCGCCCTCCCCGTACACAACAAACGACACCGTCGCGTCCGTCCCCGCGTTTCCCCGGTCGCTGGTGTAAATCCGCACCAGATACGTCTCGCGCGCCCGCGCCAGCTCCTTCTCGTCCGCGGCGACGAGCTCGCGCTCCGTCCGCTGCTCCGGGTCGCCGTTTTCGATCCAGTTGTTGCAGACAAAGGTCGCGCGCGCGTCGGTGTCGAGGTTGGTGACGCGCGCGCGCGCGAGGTGCCAGCCCTCGTCGCCGTTGTGGGCGATGCGGAGCGTTTGGAGGCGCCCCAGATTGCGGTCGGTCACGAAGAAGGTGTCTTCCTTGCCACGGCTAAAGTCGTCGTCTGCAAGAGTCGAAAGGCATCTCAGTCTGAAAAGAGTATGATGAGCGGGAGACGAGAGCAGCCTGGTTTTCAATATTCATCAGTGGATCAGTTGACGGACCGTCGGCTACGGGCTACTCAACCGGGATCGGCGTTTAAGTTGACAAAACCTAAACATTTTTCAGGCGGAGATTGCTAGTGGTAAATTCTAATCTTGGTTAGACCGGAGCAAATGCGAGAGTTTTGACATGGCCAGGAGATTCTTACCTGGATATGATTGATCATCGTCTTGCCTGGTTCAAGACACGGAGTTTTACGACCATCTCGTAACCATCTGACTCGGAGAGTGGTTCGGATCAGAACAACGAGGACTGGGCAAGAGACATTTCACTTTCCTAGTACTTGAGGCGCAATGAAGCCTAAAGTCGAGATTGCGCTTGCAGATTCTGTTCATAAAAGCATTTCGTCTTTCGTTCTCACCTGCAGACTCCAGGACGTGCTCCCTCCCTTGGCCCCTCTCCCCGACCAACGTCACGAAGACGTCACCATCCGTTCCCGCGCCCTCGACGTTACTGGTCGCCATCTCGAACTTGTACCGGTGCTTCTCTAAGCGAGGGTCGATATCCACCGCGCCCAGCTCTAGCTTCTGCCCGGTACGTACCGCTCCGATCCACTGCCCACAAGGGAAGAACCACTTCCTACCGGTCGCGTCTTCTTCCAACGAGACCAATTCTAAGTGCCACTTCGACTTCGATGTTTTACCGTCGAAGAGGACCAGCAGCGAGGCCAGGTCGCTCAGCTTCGACGAGCAGCTTATCAGGAAGACGTCCTCGGCCCCCCGCTGGAAATAGCTTATGTCGCAGCTTGATAGCTTATGCGGCCCGCTCTCGGTTCCATTCTTTTCTTTCAGAACCACGCTCACCTCCCCGTCTGCGTCCGCCTGGTCAATGTCGCTTGTATAAGCCCTAACCGTGTACTTAACCCGCTTCTTCGGCTCGGTTAACTGCGCCGGGATCTCCCTCTCCACCAACCCATCTCCCCGGTTAGCGTCAAACCACTGGTCCACCGGGAAGTAGTGAATGCCGCACGTGTCGCCCTCCACGACGACCTGGACGCGGTCCACGTGCCACGCCGGCCGCGATCCGCGGTTGTCGTGTCCGATCCGGAGCGTCCAAATCTTGCCCACGTCTTTCGCGGACAGCTGGAACGTGTCGATCCCGCCGCGCTCGAGCCCGTGGCGCTTCGCGGGCAGCCGCAGCTTCTTCGTGTCGCCCTTCTCGCCGAACAGCGTCATGCTGACGTGGGCGTCCGTGCCTGCGTCCAGGAAAAAGCTTTTGTTTGGAAGGATCCGGAAAGAGTGCGATCAATGGTGGTTGAGAGACGAAAAGGGAACAATGGGCGGTAGGTCTCCTCCGATATCATCCGCGATTCATAACGTTATCTCCTGATCCGGTCTGCTTGATTGCTCTTTCTTTGGTCAATCGAATCTTATCTCTACTCGTCCTATTCTTCCTGACGGCTACACTCATAGAAACAATTACCACAGACTGTCATCGATCTGCCCCGTACCTTCGTCCCGCTTCCTTCGAGAGAGCTCCTTCTGGATATGCCCTTCGAATTACTGAGCCCTAGTTATATGACAGGAAACGCTTCTGCAATCTTTGAGCTGTATACTTCTTTGTTCTGCCGTAAGAGTCGAGCCCATCTCAAGATTTGAAGTAATGACGTCCGGTCTCCCTTTCTAATCCACTTGTAAGAACCCGTCTTTTTAAAACGCCCGAAATAATCGCCCGTTCTCAACTCGCCAATTAAGAGTTTACTTACGAAACGTCAAACAGATTCTCAAGAGGAGCCCACTGGTATGGAAGGTGAGCCTTAGTCGCGAAAAAAAGCGGGTTTGCGCAAATGGTGAAAAATCGGGTCATAAGGCAGAGCAATGCACCAAAAGTTGTTCGCTTCTCACCTGCCCCCTCGATGTTTGACGTGTACACGGTTACCGTGTAGTTAGAGCAGTCCGCCGGGCGCGCGAACAGCTCCCGGACGATCTGCCGGTCTCCGTCGTCCGCGTCAAACCACTGTCCGCACGGGAACACCCACGCCTTACCTGAACCGGGTTCGCTTAACCGCGCCTCGGTTAAGTGCCAATTAGGCGACTGCCCCGTGTTATCGTGCCCGATGCGAATCTTGGTCACTTCGCCCAAATCCTGACACGTCACGCTGAACGTATCCTTTTGCCCGCGCTGAAACGCGCTTTTCAGGCTAGGGCTAACCAGTTTTATAACCCCGGAGTTACCCTTCTCGCCGTACAGAGTCGCCGTCACGTTTGCGTCGGTGTCCGCCGCTTTGAGGTCGGTCGTGAACGTGGTTAGCGAGTAAACCCGCCGGTCGAGCCGCGGGTCGCGCGCGCTCGCGAGCAGTTCCCGGTTAAGAGCCGGGTTAGCGCCGGCGGAAGGCGGAGCAGTCAGGCGGCAGGCTTCGTCGATCCACTGGTTACAGGGAAAGTACCAGGTTTGGTTTGACGCGCTCTCGTGGACTTCGACGAAGTCCAGATGCCAGGCCGGATGGGTGCCCCTGCCTGCAGCAGAAAGGAGCGCAACGTCTCAGCAACCTTTCGTATGTGTTGCAGGCAATAGTGCAAAGTCTCGCTCCCGTTGTGCAGCCTGTGTTGGCAACGAATTTGATTTCTTTCAATTCTGCCGTTATCTTTCAAGCTTGCTAGCATGAGCATGAGCTTCTAAGAATGTTCCGCAGCAGACTCCTACGTGTTCAGCTGGCCTACGTTTCCTGTGGTTGGATACCTCCAAACCGATAAAGCCAACTACAGAACTGCTTCGCTTCAAAAGGCGGCTGCCGAGGTTTGCAATCGTACAACCGCCGCAATTGAATTAGGTCTGAACATCTAACGAGAGCTGGAAATCTTACCGTCGTGGCCGATCCTGATGCTGATCAGTTTCCCGAGCGCCTCGCACTCCGGCAGCTTGAACTTATCCACCCTTCCCCTCTCAAACGCCGCCTCCAGAGCCCCGTTTGCCTCCAGCTTATGCGGCCCGCTTATGCCCTTCTCCCCGGTCAAAATCACACCCACCCCTGCGTCGGTTCCTGCGCCCGGGAGATCGCTCGTATGGCACGTGACGGTGTAAACACCCCGGGAGTTGGTGTTAAAGTCCACCGCGGAAAGGTCGCGCTGCGTCAGGCGGTCCCCCCTCTGCGCGTCGAACCACTTCCCGCACGGAAAGAGGTACTTTCTAGGCTTCCCGCCCTGCCCGGGGAAGTCTAAAACTTCCAGCTCCGCCCGGTCGAGGTGCCAGGCCGGGGAGGGCCCGGTGTTGTTATGTCCGATGCGGAGGGTTTTCACACTGCCCACGTCAGCAGCGTCGAGAGTGAACTCGTCGCACGAGCCGCGCTCGAAGGCCTCCTGGGTCGCCGGAAGCTTTTGGGGTTCCCCCGTGCTGCCGCTCTCACCGAGGAACACTACCGAGATATCCGCGTCCGTTCCGGCGCCCTTAACGTCCGAAGTGTACAGCTTCAGTTTGTACTTAACAGTCCGCTTGACCGCGTTGCTTAACCCGGCCGGAAACAGCTCCCGGGCCGTCCACCGGTCGCCGTGCCGCGCGTCGAGCCATTGGTCACACGGGAAGACCCACTCTTTGATCACCTGCTCGTTTACAGGGCCCCCCAATCTGCCTGCGTTAGTCGCAGAATCCAGAGGCCCTGTTTTTGAGAAGCTCGCAGAACCCAAACTTTGCACCCGCACCTCCGCCAAATGCCACCCCGGCTCTTTTCCGGTTCCGTCGTGCTCGATCTTAATCTTCTTCAGCTCGCACAAATCCTCGCACTCTAGTTCGAACTCGTCCCTATGCCCCCGGGTGAACGCCCCGGTTCCGTTAGCCACCAACTTCCTCACACCGGAATCCACGGAAGCCTTCCCCCGGTCGCTGACGCCGTATAACGTCACGCTGACATTTGCATCAGTAGCTGCGCCCTTGAGATCGCTCGTCAGAGTTATCACCTTGTAGCGCCGTCTCTTTTCCCGGGGGTCTTGAGTACTAGCTGAAAGCAGGCAGGAGAGACCCCCCGGTTTGCGTTCTCCGAGCCATTGACGGCAGGGGAAGAACCAGCGTGTGCCCGGTAGAAGCGCCTTCTTCTCGGGGCCGGTCGGGTGGAACGCTTCGATGACGATCAGGTCCAGAAGCCAGCTCTCCTCTGCAGGCGAAGATAAGAGCTTAGGCAAGATATTAGAGGAATTAACATCCAATGGTCCCCACTGACTCTACTTCTTTTTTCGAGGTTCTTTAAACTACGAACAAGTCACTTCGCATCGAGACAACTATCATGCGAGTAACGCCAGGTTATAGAGAAGGGCTGAGAACTATAGACTATGAGAAAAGGTGAGGAAACTTCTGGAAACTCGAAGCTATGGTTGCAGGAGGTCGACTTCACAGCAGACATTGAAATTCTTCAGTGTGCGCTGATCAAAGGCCACTAGAATAATCCAGAGCGCTGCTCTCAACTTATTTGTACGTGATGGGTCAGGACCAGAACATCCCCGTCTTCGCCTCGTTGCACCTCCTTAGATTTCATATTTTCAGAGAAGGGCACTAATAAGATTAAATTGTACGAGAAGCAAGTATCATTCGCAAGAGACAACTTGGCCGCTCACTCGTCCCGGCAGCCAACAGCGCCACGCGCAGCGTCTTCAGATCGCCCACGTCATTCGACTCGATGCTGAAGTCATCAACCTGGCCCCGCTCGAACAAGTCGCCCGTCCCCAGTAATTTGTGGGGGCCGCTCTCTCCGCGTTCTCCGGCGAACGTCACCGCCACGTCAGCATCCGTTCCGGAGCCCTTATCGCTGCCGGTGTAGACCGTGACCTTGTATGCGACCTGTTGAGAAAGCGTCTTATGGTTCAGCTCTTAATGGACTACATTACAGATTTCATCTGCATATGGTACGGTCGCTGTGAAAAGAGAGGCTTGACATTGTTCTGGGGCGCCGGTTTCTTTGTTCCCAGCAAGTCAAAGGTGGCAAAACAACATCGGAGTACTAGAATGAAGAGATCTACGGAAACGGATACAAGTTTTGTTCTTTGAAGATTCCTGTGTGAATATCGTCGCGTCTCTCATCGACTGACGCCGCTCTGTAGAGTCGTTTGAACATGTGCTCATATCAAAGATAGAAAGAGTGCAATCGGGCGCTTAGTCTTTTCATCACAATCCCATTTCGAAGCAACGAGCCGCGACTTCTCATTGAAGTTTGCTCGTCAACGTCGAAGCGAGTGAGTGATGTCATGCTGACCTTTCCGCCGCCCCCGCCGGCCAGCAGCTCCCGCTCGATCGCCCCGTCCTCCCGCCCCTTCGCGAGCCACCGCCCACAGGGGAAGGTGTAAATCGGCGCCTTCGCCGCGGCCGCGGCCGCGCCCGTCTTGCTCCCGAGGGTTTTCACACTGACCTCCACCCTGTCCAGGTGCCATTCCGCGCGCGCCCCTTTTCCGTCGTGTCCGATCCGCAGCTTCCGCAACGGACCGACGTCCGGAGCCTCGATAGCGAACCGGTCGCACGATCCCCGCTCAAACGCCTCGGGTCCGCACGCCAGAATTTTCTGTGACGTGTTGCTGACGTCACTGTACAGGGTGACGTGGACCGTGGCGTCAGTCCCGGCGCCCTTGACGTCAGACGTGTAGATTGCCAGCTCGTACTGAACTAGAGGCGCGGGCTTCTCGCCCTTGGCGACCGGGGCCAGCTCGCGCACGGTCTGCCGGTCGCCGTGCTTGGTGTCAAACCAGTTCCCGCAGAGGAACAGCCATTCCTTTAACACCAGGTCGGGTTTCGTTGACCCGGGGCTGTAACCCATCGTGGCGACGCGTACGTGTGCCACGTGCCACGACGGGGAGAGCCCGGAGCCGTCGTGCCCCAGGCGTATTCTCACCAGCTCTGCCAGGGCCTGTTCACACTCCAGGAAGAACTCGTCCGTCTGTCCCCGGTTAAAACTCCCGGGCTTTTCCAGCGCTCTCGATCCCGAGTCCCCCTTCTCGCCGAACAAGGTAATGCTGACGTTTGCATCGCACGACGCGCCCTTGACGTCGCTGGTAGTTATGCTAACCCTGTAGACGTTAGACGATCCCCCCGAAACGAGGGAGCTCCCTCGGCTTGCTGCGGACATTTCCTTCATGACCGGGCCCTGCAACTTTCCTCCGTCCGGCGAACCGAGCCAAGCGTGACAGGGGAAGTACCACTTCTTCTCCCCCAGTTCTACTTCTACCAAGTCCAAAAACCAGCCCGGTTGGAGCCCCTTCCCATCGTGCCCAATCCGCACTTTCTTTACATCGCCCAAGTTGGAAAGCGGCAGTGTGAATACGTCCCGCGAGCCCCGGGAGAACGCCCCGGGGGGGCCTTGTAACACCCGCGCTGATCCGCTGTCGGTCTTGTCTCCAATGAGAGTGATAGAAACCTCGGAGTCTGTTCCGGCACCCTTGCAAGACCCGGTTACCACCGTAACCTTGTAGGTTAGCGTCTCTTTCCGGGGGTCAACCGACGAAGCCAAGAGCTCCCGTGAGATAAGTCCGTCGTCCTTCTCTTTGTCGAACCACTTTTTGCAAGGGAAGTACATCGTCTTCTTCGCGGCAGACTGCTTCTTGTCTCCCGCGGAGTACCCGCTAGACGTTCCGCCCTTCTCACAGGCCGAGCACGAGCACTCAAAGTGCGGGACTACCTCGAGAGAGTCCAAGTGCCACCCCGGGTTAGGCCCCGTGTTATCGTGGCTAACCGTAACTCGGTTCAGCTCCGTAACCTGCGCAGGAACGTCGACGAAAAACACGTTCTCTAACCCCCGAGAAAAGGCCTCCGGCCCGGCTGGAAGCAGGATTGGTGCGGACTTATTCACACCAAAGTCCAGAGACACGCTCGCGCTCGTTCCCGCACCCCGCAGGTCGCTGGTGTGAATAACCACCTTGCACCGGGTCCGCTCCTTCCGGGGGTCTTTTAACACCGCTTGCAACTCCCGGGCGACCTGCCGGTCGCCCTGCGTTTTAGACAGCCATTGCCCGCAGTGAAAATACGCCCGCTCGCCCGTCTTGGTGTTGACGACCTCAACCAGGTCAAGGTGCCAGTCCGGCGCTAACCCGCTGTTATCGTGTCGAATCCGCAGCCTCGCCCTGCTCAACGACCCCACGTCTTTCGCGGTTAGCTTAACCTCCTCCGTTGACCCCGCCGCAAACTCCCCGGTTTTGCTCTGCAGCTGTCGCTCGCCGCTCGACGCTTTCCCCTCCCCCAGAAGCTCCACGGAAACGCAGGCGTCCGTTCCGGCCCCGCGGATTCCGCTGGTCGTGACCCGGAAAAGGTAACCCACGAGGGACGCCCGCGGGTCGTCGCGCGTAACCCGCAGAACCCTGCGCGTTAACCCGTCGCCCTGCGTCGCGTCGAACCACTGATCGCACGGGAAGAAGAACGCCCGGTCCTTTCTCCCGGTCGCTTCTATGCCCTTGTTACCCCCATCTCTCTGCCTCGGGGAATCGCTACCGGTCGCTTCCAAGCTTCTTTTCGCTCCGTCCTTCTGCCTCGGTGAGTCTCTTCCGGTCGCTCCGCCGCTTTTCTCCAACAGCCCAACCGAGCTGAACTTGCCCGAACCGGTCGGGCTTGAAACTCCTTCCATACTAACAAACGGGTTTTCGCCCCTAACCCGAATCTCAACCTGTTCGCAGTGCCAGCTGTCCGTCGCCGTCCGGCCGTCGTGTCCGATGACGACTTCGGACAGATCGCCCAGGTCGCGTGCCTCGATCAGGAAAACGTCGACCGCTCCCCGCTGGAAATCGGTACTGGATTTCTCCAGCAAGTGCGGACCGCTCTCGCCCTTGGTACCGCGGAGAGAGCACGTGATTGGTGCCGCTGTGCCCGCGCCCTTGAGGTCGCTGGTACGGACAGTGACCTCGTACCTGCAAAAACGATGAGTTTAGGGGTTTTATGGTTTCAAAGCTCGACAGAGAGGGGTAAACTTCGAGTCATCAGAACGTACCACTCTGGGCGTGACCGAGTTCTGCTGTCTGAGACCATTTTGCTTGTCCCTTTTCAAGAGAAAAGTATCTATCGAGACCTATTTGTTCGCGGTTTGGTCTCAGATGGAAGCGGCGGTTCCCGCGCTTTTGAGGCCGCTTGTGCGGACCGTAACCTCTTATCTGGACGGGGAAACAGGACGATGTCCAAAACGACCAAAGTCAAGTCTGCCTTATTGGATCAAGGAAGAACCGTTCGTAGAAATAGCTGCTGGATTTCTGAGGTTCACTTCGTGCATCAGGAAATGCTTTCGAAGCAGGCGCAACTCGAAACTTGGGTGTGCAGCTGATAGGGCGTCCGCGAATCTAGAAAATACTAAGCCGCAATCTTGAGGCATTGGCTGGTTTAGATACGCTTTGTGTTGTACTGGCGATCTGCCCGTCGCAATAGATCGAGGTTTAGATGGGTCTGGTGATTGGAGAGCTGCAACTCAACACTCCAAAGCTTTTCGGAGGTCTTGACAATCTATTCTGAACGGCTTCTTTGGCTAAGCATCTACCTCAACCTTCTCGAAGCATCGACACGCTTTATTTCGAAGCAGAGGCAGCCTTGAACGAGACTCTCTGCCGGGACCGATGGGACAGCATATCCAACGCTTCTCAACGGCTTCTTATTTTCTTGTTCTTGTCTTTTTACTTATTCATCGAACTCATCCTTGAAACTTTGGCCTCGGCTTAGTCCTGCCAGAATGCAACCGGCACTCTGTTACTGCCCACTCTTAAAAACGTCATCAGAACGTTTGTCGTACCTGCAGCTCTCTGATGACGTGGCGCCGCCCGCAGACAGCTCCCGGACCAGCTTCCCGTCCTCTTCGGACGCCGATAACCACCGCCCGCAGACGAACTCTTTCCTCTCATCCACTCCCGAGCCGCCACGTGTCACCACGACCTTTTCCAGGAACCACCCGGGGCTCCCCCCCGACCCGTCGTGCCCCACTCTCAGCCCCCTCATCTCGCCCGGTAAAGCACCCCCCGGGAGCTCGAAAATATCCACCGCTCCGCGCTGGAATAGCTTATGCCCCGGGGGATAGCCTTTAGGATTCCCCGGCCACAGCTCCCCGCTGGACTGCCCCGGGCCGGCGCCGAGAACCTCTAGAAAGACGCGCGCGTCCGTTCCGGCGCCTTTCCGGTCGCTGGTGTGGATCTCGAAGCGGTAGAGCTCCGTGCGCGCGCGCTCGCGCGCGAGCGCTTGCTCGGCCGCGATCGCGCGCTCCTGGGCGGCCAGCCACTGGCGGTGGAGCTCCGCCTCCTTGCGCGCGTGCTCGCTCTCAAGGTGCTGAAGCGACGCGCGCGTCTGATCCAGCTGCGAAAGGTGTGGTAGAGAGCCTTTTGAAGGAGATTTCATGACGGACCGCTTGGAAGTGAAGGATAAATTTAAGGGCGTGACATTCTTATGCACGAGTGAGAACAAACAGCAAAGTCCGTGCAAGTGTCTCAGTCTCTTTGGCTGAAGTGGATGGTTTAGTCAAGGAGGAAAAAATCGGCTGAAAGATAGCTGGAGAAATAAGAGAATGGGTGTAGGGACCAGAGGCATCGCAGAATATGAGCCAATCGTCTACGACAACAGGGTGGCCGTTCCAACCTCACAGCACGTTCTCTTTGCCTTGTCTGATGGTCATACAGGTAGACGGAACGTAACCGAGCCCACGTTCGCCTTGTAAGACCATTATAGCATGAGGCAATCTTTTCCGGTCTGTCGAACAAGGTATCTGCGCTGCTTGGCTCAGGAAAAAGCACAACCGCACGCCCTTTCGCAGAAATTTCTCGGCCGAAATATCAAACAGGTCAAGCTGCCAAACCCACCTCCTCCTTGTACGACCCGCCAATCGTCCGCGTCGTCCGCATGGTTTCCGTCCGCATCGTTCCGGTCATTCCGTGCGACATCCGCCGGTCGTTCTGGACGTAGTACCGCCACGCCTCCACCAAGGCTTCCACCCACCGCTGCGCCTCGGCCTTTGTATCAGCCGCCAGAAAGTGGGTGCTTTCTCCGCATTGTATGCTGAAACAGCACTTGTCAAACGTCTTGGACGTGGACCTGTGGACGTCCGGAAACGACAGATTTGACCGTCCGAACCGGATTTAGAATATTCGAATGTTTTGAGGACTCCATGGAATGAGGAGTCTTACCGCACTGGATGCTGAAACAGCACTTGTCGAACGTCTTGGACGTGGACCTGCGGACGTCCGAAGAACCGTAAAAATGCAAAAGTAACCAACATGCTTGAGGAGAATGGAGCGAAAATTCGTAAAGAGCTTTTCTTAAAATCGGATCGGAATAAATGTCTTGATGAAAGCAGTATCCGTGGATACCCCTTGAAGGACAGTCACAATCATCAGGAGCCCAATAGCTTAAGGAATGGAGTGAGAAGCTCTCGGCACTGAATGCTGGAGCGGAACAGATGAAAAATGTTGAAAATGGGCCTGCGTTGACGTCTAGATAGAGCGACCTGGAAAGGGGCGACGAATTTCGACCTTTGAAGGGTAGCCGGTTAAACAATTCAGCCCGCAATCATTTCCAGAGACGTCAAAGAGCGTGCAAACTGTTCCGCCTTACATCAGCGGACCCTTTCTGCAGATTGGAAATGGAGCCGACTTTGGTCGTGAGTAGCTTGGAAGGACGCCCAAACGGAGCAAGACTCGTCTCGTATCTCATTTTGAGTGAGTCACTTGCAGGAGGTAGGATGACGAGCGGGAAGGAGAACAATGAAAACGGCCATCCAGAGTAAGATCGAAACACCATCACAGTAAGCACAAGCCTCTTTCTGGAACCGATCACAACATGTGACTGGTGAGAATGGACAATCCAATGCCCAAAGTGGTGCTCGCGCAGGTATGGCCACACGCAAAGGCGTGATCACAGACATGCCTTAGAAGAAAGAAACTTCAACTGATTTCCTTACTGTACTTACAGCATGTTCCCAGTAAGAATAGACACTCCAATGTCCGGTTTGTAACCCCGGGGGTACGGCCGCACTGGGATCCGGTCCAGCGGCAGGTACTTGATCGGCCCGAGCGTGTCTTCGTTTTCGGTGTAGCATAAGCGATCCTCCATGAGGTAGAACCACTTCTTGCGCCATACCCGGTGCGTACCCTTGCCGTAGAGCTTTAGAAGATAGCCGCACATGCCGTCCTGTTTCGGAAAAACGGGAATTCAAATGCCAGTCTTAAGCTGGATTAACTGGGTCTGAGAGGCGTTTGGGTGATGGAGGGAGGCGGTAAGTCGATCTGTAGGGAGAATTGACACGTGCCCTTGCCTTAGAGCTTGAGAAGGTAGCCCCACATACCTTCTTGTTTTGAAGGAACTTTGTATATTGGAGGTTAGTCCTGAGTTGGCTTGACTGGGTTTGAGATTGGCATTTGGGTACTGAAACCTGAAGGGAGGCGGAAAAGTTGGTCTGTAGAGGGATCTGATATGTGCCCTTGCCGTAAAGCTTGAGGGATGCCCGCACGTGCCGTCCTGTTTAGGACAGTGGTAATATAAGGTTGGTCGGAAGTGAGTTCAATATTGTGGGTTTCTGAAAACAGGTCTTTTGATGGCGCATTCTGCGTAGCTTTTTGATAAAGCTTCAGGAGCTGTCCTGTTTATAGGACGGTAGTGGAGGGTCGGTATTGAGGTGGATCAACTGGGTTCGAAATGGGCATTTCAGAGGATGGCGATAGGGAATGGAAAGGGTCCGTCTCTAGCGGGATTCACCAGCGTGCCATGGCATTAAGCGTGAGAAGACAACCGCGCATGCTGTAAAATGATAGTTACCAACGCAGCAATCGGTGAATGCGCTGGACGAGATATATCATGCGTTTGGAAAAAGTACCCCTGGCATAGCCACTTCTTACAAGGTGCATCTAATATAAAAGCAGGCAGAGCTTGTAACTACAGCCAGTCTTCATAGTGGATAAAGGCCCGCGTAATCTGACTTTTGCCAGCATTTTCCACGAGTTCTTTCTGCTAGATAAGCTGGTAATGTGTGCTGCTCCATTGGCAGGGTGGGTAAAGCGGCCATAAGACTGCCCTTGAGCATCCTTATCCTTTTTCCTACGGTGGCAGTGGGACAAGCAACCCCGGTAAAGAGCGGCAAAGGAGCAATATCGCAATGTTATCAATGCATATGGGTCAAGCAGCTCTGTCCAATTCCGGCAGTACGTGTTGATCAAGTGCTCGATGCATGGTTCGACCAACTGTATGCGTGCCCTTTAGGCTTATGGAGCTTACCGGCGTAAAGCTAAGCATCCGCTTGTTTTCTCAACCCGAGCTTATATGTTGCTGACACCATCTCACCTTGAACGACTGCGGCCCTGGGGGATCCACTCCCTCGTCCTGCTGCATCGTCATGAAAGAATCGACGGTGCGTGTCATCCATTCGGTCTGCCGTGGTGACGTCATCCTTGCGTCACTCCCTTACGTTCCAAATGCTGGTAAAAAAGCGCTGGCTTCAAATGCCTTGAGCCGTCATCTGTTGCTTCCTCTGTTTTGGGCGCCAGATACAAGCCCGAGCTCGAGGCTCATTGTGGGTCCAGCAAACGCCCCTTGCGATGGAGGTAATCTCGACTACTCGCTGCAGCTATGAGTGTGACAGCTCGCTGATAGGGCTTCATTTGCGATGGGCAAGATTACTTGCGGCCTTAGAACAAGTACGTTGAGCAAACGCGTGCCCATCCGTGGATGAACTATCTATCTAGTGAGTCTTTCGTCAAGAATCAATCCCTTTATCACTGAGTGCAGCCCGTAGCTAGGGTGCCAGCGCTGCGATATAAACAATCACCCACTCTCTGGATACTCTCGTTCCGTCTCACAACATCCAAGATTTCCTGCTTTGGCAGTGTTTTCCATCCAATCCTGGTTTTGACAACCCGCGCATTGTCTGTGGATGTGGTCTGAGGCCCAGAAGCAATATCAAGCATAGAGTTCGAAGATACAGAGACTACCTACTCTCGTTTACGTTCACCTGAGCGCCACAGCAGATCATGCAAAACGGATTACTGACATTCGCAAGTTAGGACACGGGTTCATAGACACTGTGCAATTTGTAAGTTAGAAAGGACCGGACTATCACGAGGTTCAGCCCAGTCACTCGAAGTGGCTGCTGGCTTTGCAACCGCTTGTACGCAAGTGAACTACGCGCGCATTGGCGTCTCATTAAAATTGGGGCTTCGTGGAACCAGTTGAGCCGCTCGATGCCCGGAGCTTGATTATCCGACGACTCAGAAGCGCTAAGACGTCCAGGCGTATACAGTCTGCTGGCACGGCGCCCAGCTCGAATGCTTCAGCTTCATGCTCAGCGCTAGCGACGTGGTGGTTTCATTCCAGCTCTTCACAGCGCGCTGCAAGCATAGCCTTCTAAGATTGAGTTGGTGCTAGTGAGCTGTCTTCAGCATCTTGATCTGCTCTATTTCAGGGACCGCTAGCGATAGTAAGGAGCTCCCATACTCGGGAAAAGGGTGCGGGGGTAAGCGATACGCCCAGCAGAATCTGATTTGCAGAGCTGAGATTCCCATATTATGGCGTCCACTTCATGCACCTTTGCTGCCCGCTCTCTGCACCAGGCGCTGCCCTCCTACAGAACACTAGATCGCGCACAGCGATGTGACTTCACACCCGGCATTGCCACATTGTCACAGGCTACAGCACCTCCTGTGAGAACAAGCCCACTAAGTGCACCGATCGCCTTTTCTCAACTTAGAGAAGCTTCTTCATCTGATCAGATCAGCAGCTTCGGGCGCCAGGTTAACCCAAAACCGTTTGGGTTTGAGCGGCAGAAACCGCGACATGCAAGGCAGGTGGTGGTAGCTGCGGCTAATCCTTTTGCTCAATTGTTGACCCGGATTTCAGGCAACACGACAGAGAAAAGAGAGGAATTAAAAGGAGAGCTTTTAGACTTGATCAGCGGGCTCGAGAGGGGCGCCGAAGCGTCGGCGGAGGAGAAAGCTGAGGTCGACAAGGTGGGTTAGTGGGTCCACTTTTGGAGTCTTTCTTAACCCGCTTCTCAGCCGTGCAACGTGCGCTTCTCTTGCAAGTGGCATGCAGCCCTAAGCAGGTTTAGCAAGTGGCCGTTTTGGCTGGTTCATTTTTCGGAGAATGATGAATTGAATACTGGATCACTGCGCAACACATCTTTGAACGGTGCATGCGTTGGGAATCTGTTCTTGACAAGGTAACATATCTGCGGCTGCGAAAACACAAAGGACACGCCATCGCCCCACTGATTAGAGTGCGCCACAAAATCACGTTTCAAGGACTTGAGCCCCAATCGCCGAAGCGGAGACCTGTGTCGCTGGAGCGCACTCATCTTTTATACTGGGCCCCTCAGTTGTTTTGTCATTGGCAACAGTCTTCTTTTCATAAATACACCGTCTGCTTTTTGTGTCAAGGCCGTCGGAGAGCTTGTCTATAAAATGCAGAGTTTGAAACATGCCAGCCATGTACTAGCCCTTTTTGTTGATTTTTATGCCACTTACTTCTGTGTCACAGTAGAGTTATCTTACCTCCAAGGGTCTATATTCTGTCGGCCGCTCTATTAAGCTTTTGAAATTGACACCTCTTATTGCAGTTGGCCTCCCGCCTAGAGGCGATTACCCCCAACCCCAAGTCCCTGTCGACCCCGCTCATCAGCGGGAAATGGAAGCTGTTGTACACAACATCAGAGTCGATCCTAGGAACAAAGGTGAGGGCTTTGTGCCTATTCTTTCTTCGGGGGCTCGTAGTGGGGCGACGGATCTTGACTACTTCTTCGAATTTTCCAATTTACCGGCAGTCTGTTTGGTTTAGTTGCATCGGGTTCATTTTGGCCCGAACCTTGGCCTTCTATGTCAGCTTTCAGTACTTCACGGGTCTTGCGTTCTGATTTCGAACACGTTGTTCAAGCGCGAATTGTCAAGCATCTGAAGAACATCTCCCAAGGGTTCGTACTCGCCTGTCGAGAGACACAGGCCTTGCTGTCTACTTCTCCTTCGTTTCTCTGTCTCCTGATGTTCTCCGTAAACATCACTGGCTCTTTGAAATGCAACATTGAGAAGCGATGTTCATTAAAACCTTTCTTTTCCCCTATGCTCCATTGCAGAGACCAAAACTGTTGCGGCCCAACGGTCCTATCTTCCAGTACATCGACGCAGAAGCGTTGGCTGCCAAGAACACGGAGACGTGGCCGTTCTTCAACCAGGTGAGTTGTGATCAACGATTCCGACCGAACAAATTCGATGACTTCAAACACAATCGCCTTATGCAAATGGTAGATTGTGCCTCAACAGGGGCCCTAGGACAGCTGTTGCTCTCTTGTCCACCAGGATAAAAGCGGACCCGACGACTTGGTCGGCTTTAAAACCCGTCATTTTCTGTCCATGATGAAGTTCAACTTGGCCGTTTGCTGTGGTTGTCAGCTTCTCCATGTCCGCCGCGCCTCACTTGCGATGCTGCTTAAATGGTGGCAAGGAAGTGCTTCGGATGGTGATCCCAAGTTGTGCTTACGGGAACAATTGCGCTTCAGGTGACGGCAAAGCTGACCCCGGAGTCACCCAGTAAAGTGAAGGTGCAGTTCCAATACTTCAAGATTTTCGGCCTGGTAAGCATCCAAATTAAAAGCCTTTTCACCTTTATTTGTTCTTATTTCTGCTGACTATTCCTGCCCATTGCGCTCTCGTTTTGTTTGACATGTCCAGAAAATTGAGCAAGTACTGCTTTTCGCATCGAACTTGGCACCCAATCTTGAGTACGAACAGCGCAGTTCAAGGTCTTGATTTCCGACGCGAGTGCCTGACTGTTGATGTCAGAGATATTTTTCAGATGGAATCAATGCACTTCCTCGATTGGGCCCGGGACTGAAATTACGAGTGGTTACGAGTGGCACAAGGTATTCAGCTAGTGGGCATTTGTACCACTGTGAGCCCCGGTCGATATCACAGGTCCGTTAACCGAGATCGGGAAAGCGGATTCTTTTTGGGCGGGCTTGCTTGGCCGATCAAGAACCAACAGAGTCGGACTTGAAGATGGACATTTTGCGTTTTGATTCCAGGCTCGGCTGCCAACTTTCACGATACAGCAATTTTGCCGCCGCCATGAAATAGGGGCAGTTTTTCTTTCAGATTTCTGTTGATTGATGCGGTTCGGAGGCCTTTTGAGCAAGATATACCCGCTGTCAGTTGATGCGTTTAGATCAAACGTTCCTTCTATTGCATCGACGTCAGCTTTATCAGACCGGGTCTAAGCCCTGAATCTGCTTCAGGTGTCCGTGAAAGCTCCCGAGTCGGCCCGGGGATTTCTAGACACGACGTACGTGGACGACGATCTAAGGTGAGCCTTTTGGCAGTCAGTAGCACATTTCGGTCGTTTTGACACAAACGCTTTACCAACCAGGCACGTGTGTTAACACAAAAGTCCGAAAACACCGCGACGCATTGTTTTTGAGATGGTGCCCCGCAAGTTTTTAGGGTCCGTATTGGCGGTTGGCAGAGGCAACAAACGCGAAGCCCATCGTGCAACTTGGAGCGCCAGAGTTGGCGGTTGGCCCTACCGATCGGCGGTTTCAAAAACATGTATTGCCGGGCTCACGAGCGTGCCTATCAAATTCGACGTAGGCGTTGCGCTAGCATTCGAAGTGGGCGTCTGAGGGCAGACAAAAGCCCGCGAAAGAGCGCATTGAATTGCGGGCATATACTTCCCTGGCTCGAGTTCGTTGCCGTGCTTGCAACCTTAGTCGTCGATCCCGGGGGCTGACTTCTAGGAGGTTTGGGATCTGCTCAGAACATCCACGCATGTTTTAGTCCCACCTTCAGGCCCGGAGAGAAGTTGTCCTGGGCAGCGCTTGAACGGCTTTTCTTTTAAACAATTTGTGAAAGAAGATTCCTTAGCATGTGAAGAGCAAGTCAAAGAGAGTGGATTGCAAATCTTGCCGCGAGGCAAAGACCCACAGATCGCAAGGTTTTGAATGCCTGTCCTGGCTTAAAGAAAGTAGGAACAAGCCCTCTTTGGCACCGAAGCGTCTCAAGACAAGTTTGATTGTTTCGAATGTCATGCTTTCAAAGCTAAGGTGATCAAGCATTTGAGCATTATCCTTTCGTTCTTACAGGATATCACGGGGAGACAAAGGAAATCTGTTCATCCTCTAACAGACGGACAATAGTGCCAGGCTAGGAGAGATTTGATCGAACGTGCATTGAAGTCAACCAAGATCAGATTCAGGTCACTGTAGAGTATAAGCAGAGACTAGTGCGTGTTTTTACCATGCTAATACCACGTAATATGTATATTTTCCCAATTCTTGCCAACATGTTGCAGTTTATGTGAGGACGTCCCGCTTGGTGATACCTGTTCCTATTGGTTGCATCGCTGAGTATCTTACTGAGGTCCCTCAGAGAGTATCCGGCTGCTCACGTTGATAGACCTTCATTCGGGTTCTGCTTCCTCAACTGCCCTTCGAACCTCGTTTGCGCATTGTCACAACCCTCGTAAACGAACCGAGTGAAGACGTCAATGGCGGTCTAGTTCTTTCGCCGAGGAATAAGGTCCCAGGCTAGTCTGTGCACCTTGCATGTTTTTGAAAAGCGCGAGAGATGAGGCTCCCATAAGCTCCGGATGCATGGCTTCTGACTTGCGGGGGCCCCGCCGGAGCACCGATTCGTTATTGCTCGGTCTTAATCTGGCACCACGATTCACGTACTTGGCAATCATGCGTGCTCACATCGGGCCCGAGCCAAGCCCGAGCCACGCGCGCATGCATTTCCAAATGAATTGTTGGCGCCACACATGTTTCCCGGGGGGGGGCATTTAGGCGCGGCATGTGGAACTCCCTGATGATTCTCATTGCATGCACAGTGCCGGGTGGGCGGCGATCCAATGATCATCATGGTAAGTCTCATACTTGACCACAGCACAAATTTCTGTCGCAAACAGATGCTGCAAAAAGCCGTCATGCAGGCGCGATCGCACCGTGATCGCTTTCAGTTCAATGCTGGCATGAGGTGTCTCATGCCAAACGGCTATGTAATGCTTCCTGTGCCTTGATCCTTGTACGACCACAGGATGCATTCGATCGCGTTCTTGGTGGTGACGGACAACAGGGTGACGACAGGGGCATGCAGGCCGGGATTCTGAACGAGGGACTCTAAGATGCACCGGATCCCCTCCTAATTCGACGGCTCTCATGAACTGTAAGAAGTTACCGTGCATGATTAGAAGCAAAGAACCATGCCCTTTACAGTATGCAACCTACTTGCTTCTCCTATGGCGGCAAACGCAGACGAAATCATCGTCGAGTCCATCTGTGGCCTGCCGAATTGCTGACTGTTCCTTGTTAGTAGCTGGAAGACCGGGGTCGTGTAATGCTTTCAGTTTTTCTACAGGAACTATGGCAGAGTGACCACGTGAAGAGCCCGTAGGGAAATCAAAATCGATCAACGCCAATGCTGCTACTGATGCTACAAGGGTTACGACGAGGGAAATGACTACGCAGGTATCCTCTTCGCACCAATTATCAAATGGCCAACGGGCATGAACCACCTGGATCCTCAAAGCAAACAAATCATGATGTTCATATCCAGGAATTGAAAGGGCCAGAAACAACAAGCTCCCAACCAACACCTGAACACACGTACTGACCCAACAGTATACCCGCTCCGCAGACTGCTAATTGGCCCTCATCTCATCAACCAACCCCGCCCGTCCCAGGCTGGCGAGCTCATGATTTCCTGCCGCCTGATGTTCCTAAACTCGGTGTCCGGCTTCAATGCAAATCACGAGGATGCGAGTACTAGATGGAGATACACTGTCTTGGAATTGGAAGCCAGCATTCCTAACGCACTGGCAGTCGTCAGAGGACGGCATGAACCTTGTGTATGTAACAGGCAACCGTGCTCTTTCAGACTAGCAATTGGGGTAAGATTTCTTTGACTCCAGCAACCCAACTTTTCAGGGCTGCTTTCATCCAGCAACTGCAATTGCTCCAAAGTTTTAGGAGGAGAAATCTCACTTACCACGCTCGTTCTCTTTTTGCCATGCTCCAACAAACTAACTCGTCGACTTCCCGGAAAGTCTGTAGTGTGTTAAGAACCGAAGAAGCAAACAAATAAGGTCTAGTTTGAGCACAAACACTTTTCCTATCAATAGTACTAGCAGTCAGCTTGCTGCGGCTAAAGGTGGTTATGCCTCTTAATTGAAAGTGACGGGCATATTCTCAAACAAGCGTATTGATGTGCCGCATGTTATCAGCTGCAGTTTAATGGACTATGCGCCCGACTTATTGTGCGTGATTCAGTTGTGTTTTGTGGTGCTGGTAAGAGTGCATCTCAAGATAGGAGTACACGTGAGCGAGCTCACCTCCAGAAAGGCCATATGCTGATGGCGGCATGTCCAGTTGGATACGGATCCTAGCATGTTCTTTCCGCATAACTCGAAGAGGAACGAGTGACTGTCTGCCCTTGGGGACAGTCGCTGATCCGAACGCCAATCCCTTTGAGAAGCTGCGAGGTCTTACCGCCAGGGCTCTGGCCGCCATACTATCACTCGTAGAGGTCCAAAAAACGATGAAGGCTTTGAACAGGGTTATACTAGTCCCTCAGAGCGGCACGCAGAATGTTTAAAGTTCCTCATCAGCAAGCCCTTACGCACAACATAGAAGGCAATGCGCCCTGCTTTCAAAAGGCCGCCCTGAACTTTACTATATAACTTCGGCCGTGGCGCCCAGGCGGCCGGCCCCTCGGCCGACCGGCGGCTATATGGCGCGCGCCCGCCTGCAGGGTTGAAGGGTTTCAACTTCAAAACCTTGCCAGAATGGCGCGCGCAAGCGCGCCAGCCGCCAGGCTGGCGGCCGGTCTGATCCGCTCCCTGTGAATATTTACCACGTCACGGTAGCACTTCCAACGCATAATCGCAAGGAAGGTCCCATTTGCAGAGGGCTACGCCTCGAGCGACTGCTCATTTAACAACTTTTCTCCTCATTGAACTTAAACTACAAATGATCAGAAAGATGCAGCCCATGTAATAAGTATGAATCGGAAGGACGGTCTGCATGCTGCAGTTGATTGGGCAGGGCAATCACCAGACGTTTCCGACCGGTCTGATCCAAGCTGTCGACTTTTCATATCACCTGCTGCGATTCCAGGGACACCCTGATCGCATGCATCGAGCTGACACGAGGGCCGTCGACCCGAGCCGCGATTACAGCAGAGCGAGTACAGAATTCATGTATAGTGCAACGACTGCCAGCCGGGCCGGGCGGAATTACTAGCGCGGATAGCTAGTGATTTTGCGGGGAAACGTTTGGCTAGCAAACAGCGCGCCATATTCAAGTGGATGCCTAAAAAGGTCTGATGCAAGGATGTGCACATTTCCGACGAAGTGGCGTGAGAGGCACTGCATGCGCATGTATATTGATCCTCATCCACGCTGGAAAACGTTCCCGATGTGCTGGTACGTGCCGGGCCTCAACAACCTCTACAGAATGAGTTGAAGCATTTGACCATCAACTCGGGCCTTTGAAAAGCTCAGAAACAATGATACGGCGCAATTGCTGTTTGACTCCGGCAGATGCAGATTTACAGCCGGCCCCGAGTCTACTTCTGGGCACGAACAGTCGACTCTCTTGACTCACAAGGCTGACGGCTTTCGCCAGATTATCCATTCTAACTTAACGAGTGCTTTAGTCCTGTCTTTGGCTCGTTATTGTCAACGTTGTCCTGACTGCAGCTTTTCAACTTTGTCACCAACATTCTTTACAGAAGCTTCAAATTGTCTATGAAGTTGATCAAAACTTTCAACCATTTAGCATGCTCGTCAAAACCTCGACAACGGCCTGACTACTATCCGCGTTTAACAGATCCCTGTACACTCTCTTGAGCTTCGTCAGCTTCTCGTTAGCTACATCGGCATCGGCATCGGGGCAGCTCTTGTGCTTGAGAAATGACACGTACGCTTGTAACAGCTCTCGTGCCACCCACTCAAGGTGCCCTTTCAGGTCCGCCAATATTTGAGGGGAGGGGTTGGGATGTGCCTGGTTAACCGATTTGTCATTGGAGCCCGGCGCGCTCGCTCGGGGCTCGAAGACTTGGGGCACACGGGCCAGGTGGGACAGCCCTGCTTCCATCGCCTGTAAGACAAGCCACTGTGAGTAGTGCCGCTAGCAAGAATTTAAGGTGCCTATGCATCCCCAACCGAGTGGTTTGAACACGAGGCACGGGAGCTTTCTGCCGAATCGATGCTATGTGGCTCCCTGCTCCTTCATCAGAAATCGACTCCGAGTAACATCCATGCTTTGAAATTCCGTAAAAGCAGTGTGTTGCCAGCCCTTGATGAGAAAGACGAATCCCGATCGGAGTTGCAAATATGCAAAACCAGTTGGTTGTTACCATATCACTCGAACGCTGCTTGCAAGCTTGCCTGCTTTTTCCCGTAATCTCATAAGAGCATGATTTCGCAGCGAACACTTTCCTTCTGCTGCATGGACTGAGGCCAGCTTCTTAGAGTTGGAAAGGCAACGAGCAGGGCAACGGCGCACTTACGTTGCTTGGTCGCGCCTTGCCCGCACACTTCAGCGCCAGCCTCGATCTCTGGATACAAATTTGTATGTACATGTCCGGGTGTGACTCCGCCCTGTAATACTCGAGCGCCTTCTGCCAGTGCCGTTCCGCGAGCGCCGCAAACCGCTTCCCCCGTGCGTCCTCGTTCCGTTTCCGGCTCCCAGATCCGGTATCCGCCGGAAATTCTCCGACGCACCGGTCTCGGAAGTGCGCCGCCAGCTGGCAGTGTGAATACGCCGCCTCCTGCCCCCGCCCCGGCCCCAGCGACTCGTACAGGTGCAGCGCCTTCGTCAGCAGCTCGCTCGGCGCCTCCTTGCTGACGTCATCAGCCTTGCTGACGTCGGCGGGGAGCGACGCGAGGAACATGCCGAAGCGCAGGTACGTGTGGCCCAGCTGCGTGTGCGCTTCGGTCCAAAGGCCCCGTAAGCTGCGCTGTGCCTCGGTATCGCCTAGAGAAAGCAGCTCGGCGCGGGCGGCGATGTAGTGGGACAGGGCCTGCCGGTAGCACCGAACGGTGTGGGCCGTGCGGACCTGCTTGAGCCGCTCGCCTGGACGTCCGGATCAGGAGCGGGGTGTCAAAAGGGGGCCGCAGGCACGGCCAAAAGAAGGCGAGCGCATAGATGTTTTTTGCTAAAGGTAAGCTTCAATAAAAGGCTGCAGTGCAACAAAAACGTCGCCAGCAAGGCATTTGCAAACCAGGCTCTGCAACAGGGAGAATATCGTCTTTGATGTTTTAACGAGCGTAACAAGCATGTGAGAAGGCCCGTTCCAGACGCTTTTAACTGTGAACGCCGAAGCGGCCGAGAGAATGCAGTAGTCCACTCATAATCCGGAGGAAAACAATTGCTCCGCAATATCCTACAGCATCACAAATGAACTGCTAACCTCGACCCCTGATAATTTGTTACTCCTTTTTCCGCAGAAAAGAAGTACGTACCTACAATGAAATCTTTAACGTGTAAAAGCAACAACCTCATGCGGAACCCGTCTCACCTGCGAGGGTCTGCTCTAGTGCCGCCCCCTCTGCCACCATTGCCTCCGCCTGGCCCCGCCGCGCGTGCCCCATGTTGCAGTGAACCAGCACCGCGTTCGCTGTGTCCTTCACTGCACCGAAGCTGCCCAGCGCCTGTGTGAACAGGCCCTCTGCCGTCGAGATGTCCCCTTCCTCCAGCCGCCTGTAGGGGCAAACAGCACGTATTCACATCCCGCTTTTGAAAAGCTGTCTTGATCAATGAGAAAGTACGACTGCAAAGGCACACTGTCCCTGCTTTCCGGGCTCCTGAGCAGGAAGAACGGGGGTTTTCAGATTCAAAATGTTACGTCAAGCAACCAGCAAACATTCGACAAGCTCGACACAAGGAGACTCACACCTCGGGTTTTCAGGGTACTGTACCCCGGAAACCTTCCTAATCCCCGCCCAAGCTCGTCACACGCTCAACCTACCCTGGGAAGACACCAGAAGATTCAGATCACAGAGAGCCCCGTGATCGCAGACCCTTCCTCACCTCCGCCCGAGCTCGTTACACGTCCATCCCATCCGCCTGTGTGCAAGCTCCCATTTTGCCCCGCCCGTTGCTCCGTCTTCCGACTCCATCGCCGCAATCGCCTTCGAGTAACTTTCCAGTGCCGCCGTCAGATTGACGTCATAATCGAGGGTCAGCGGCCGTCCAAAGCACAGCAGATCCGCGTCGCTCGCGGCCGCCCTCCCCCCTCTCACCGTCTTCCGTTCGCTCTTACTTCCGCTCGTTCCGGCCGTTCCGCCGGAACTGCCATCTGGGGTGCCCGCTTCCGAAACCCTCAAACCCTGCCGCAGCCGCTCGACTTCGTACGTGACGGCTTCCTCCAAACGGGGGGCTCCGCTCAGGAGTGCCGCCTGTTGCGTTAAGAGCGCCTCCTCCCCCCCACTGCGCTGCAGTTTTGCGTACAGATCGCCCACGAAGGCCCAGAGAGCACCCCAGAACTCGACTTTCGTGCCTTTGAATCCTCTACTTAGACTGCGCCGATCCGCGCTAGCCGTTGTCCCTTCCCCTGACGCTTTCCGTCGCGACCTTCTTCCTGGTTCGGTATTCCTTTCCAACAAATCACCTCCGTCCTTCCGCAATTGCATCATCCCTCTGCTTCTCTCGTCCTTCTGAGTGGCACCACTCCCTTCCCTCGAATTGTCGACCTTCGCGTCGGTGTTTCCTTCCGACTCCCGAACATAGCTTTCCAGCCGCCTGGGCACTTCTTTCCCGGCAATCTGCCGCCGCCCCTCGTTTCTATCCACAAACCTTCCGACCACCGACGCAATCTCCGCCGCTTTCAGGGCACGTGCCAGCTGTGCATCCCCTTCATACGCCCTCCCCAACTCCAGATACGACTCGGCCAGGCAGCCCATAAGCTTTTGCATCTTGGCTTCGGTGCGTACAACCCTCGCCTCGTGCCGGCTTCCTTTGCAATTGCATCCCCGTTCTTCCTGCGTACCGGAAATCTCCTGTCTCCCTAACCCATCGGTAACCGACTCTAAACCGTCCCCGCTGACGTGTCTTCTCGGGCGCCGCCTACCCGACTTTCTCGAGTTGAGCATCGTCAACTCCTCCCGTAGCGCTCTGATCGCCTGCGAGAAGTGGTGAACCGCTGACACGTGGCGGTTGATGTCCTCTTCTCGCTCGGCTTCGGAAGGACCGCTCGTTGAGCCTTCGGTTGAATTGACGTCTGCGGACACCCTCTCCTCGCCTTCTCTACCGAGATCATGGCTCGCTCCCAAACTTCCCGCTTTGTCCGGTGGGTTCTCCACCCCGCTGACCGTTGCAGGGTCCGAACCAGAATCCTGGACAGACACTCCTCCGCTTTCATCCGGCTCAGGTTGAGAACCCGTCACGCCAGCCTCTTGCGAAGCGCTTGTCGCTACTCTTTCGTCCTTTGCTTCCGCTTCCACTTCCGTTGTTTCTCGTTCCGTTGTTCGGGCGCTTTCCTCAGACAACCCCGCGGACTCTCTTCTCTCGTCCTTTCGTTCGTCACCCATGCTGCTCTTTACGTCGCTCGGACTACTGACCTTCGCAGGCTGCTCATCACTTTCTATTCCGGGCGACGATCCATCTCCAAGAGCAGGTAAAAACTCATTTCCGACGCCGGACTCGGTCGGGAGCAGGAGTTGCTTGCTGGGAGCCGCCTCGAGTAAAAGCTGTGGACCGGTGGGCGGGGGAGGAATGGCCTGCTCTAAGCACAGCCTGGCCATGCGCTCGTGGGCAGCTGCGACCAGGTCCTGCAAGGAGAGGCGACGACTTCCTATTCTGTTGACCTAGAGTTTCCTTCGAAGGAACCCACTTACGACTTACCGTTTCTCGAATGCCTGTGATTTGTCAAGGGAATGAAGCGAGTTGCAGTGTACAGCGGGCTCGAACAATTCCTCTACGTAAACATCAGCTGGAGCGTCTGCGGGTCTCCAAACGAATCTTATCTGAGCTGTCCTGAACGAAGCCTAACAAGCTCTCTAATGAACGATGAAAAGACTGAAAATTCGTTTCCGTTCGAAGCTCGAAGACCGAATCGAATCAGATTGGGTTTTCCATCAGCCATTCAGCACAGAATGTCGTCACACTCGACATTCCAGTACCTCAAGGTGGTCTGGCTAAACAACCCACTGCCACCTGTCACATCGACTCACTGCCACGTGGCGCAACCACGGCTTACCGGCACGTGCTTCTCCTCCATCAGCTCCAGACACTGCATCAGCAGGCTCCCGCTGCGCCGCTGATCGCTGCTCGCCTTCGACCGTGCCAGCTGTAATGCGAGCCGGTATATCAGCAGAGCGAGCGCCTGTTTGTAGCTCTCGGGGCCACGTGGGTTGCGGACGGTGTCCGGCAGCGGCGAAGCCTCGTCGTCGGACGCGTCGGACACGTCGGCGTCGTCCGAAATGGTGGACAGGTCGAAGAGCTGCATCAGGTCCTCGCCAGCGTTCTTGACAAGCTGCACGAAACAACGGACGTCGATTGATATCCTAGTTGACATTTTTCTCCCTTACAAGCATCGGGTCAGAACTGGATTGGAATTCAGAAGGTCAACAACGTTGCGAAAACCCCGCTTAAGATTCTGAAAGCTGCGCAAAATAATGGACAGAAATCACATTCTTTCCGGACCACCTTGTAAAGTAAAGAAGCATCAATTCTGAATCAACTTTCTGAATATTCTCAAGAGATGGTACGCCTGCACCATGTTCTAAGACACTCGTGAGACCACATAGAGTGGCTCTCTTAGGGAATCTAATCACGCACGAAGAGCCGCGAACGGAAAGGAACTCTTTGAACACCGGCGCTCACCCAGTAGGCCCCCGGCTCGCTGGTGCAGTTCTTCCTCAGAAACTGCAACACTGCCGCCGCGTTCGCGTGCACCACTTGGGGGTGAAAGGGGATGGTGCCGTCTGCGCCAACGCCCTTCAGTAGAAAAAGGTCGTCGGTCTTGAGCAGTTCGTAGCCCTGGACAACCCCCTGCTTGTGATAGCACACCGCGAGCTCCGGCACGTTGGCCATCATGTTGTCCAGCCACGCATCGAGCCACGTCAGCGGGGACATCTGGCGTTCCACCTGAAAGGGGCAGAATGCCAAAATGAAGAGACTTGAAACGTTAGGAAATTTGATCGACGTAGGAGAAGCGAAGGTCTATTACATGGCCTCGGCTAACCGGAAGCAACAACAGGGACTGGGGAGTTGAAAGAAAGCAGTTCATGAAAACGGCGAAGCAATCGAGAATGCAGCAGGAGCTATCAACGCCAAACTCTACCAGGAGGCATATTACACAAGGACGAAGAGGCCGCAAACGACTCATCAATGAAAAATACTCGGGCGATGTTTAATCCCAGTTACTGTAATCCCCCGTCTCGAAGAGAGCCGTGTACAGAACCCATGTGTACAAACCAAATGGTACTACCCTTGCGACAATAAGCTGCTTGAAGAATGTCCCAACTAAGTACGACAGCATTCGCAGGTTCCTGCGGCCTCGCATCAACAAGAAGGACAGATGGCATGCCCCCAAACTTGCTGCATTACAAGAAAAGCAGACGAGACCTTGTTCGCCTGCACATTAAGCGGACTTCTCAAGTACATCATACGAGTCACGCTTACCTCCATAAGATGCAGGCTGACCGCCTTGTGCTGGTCGTTTCCAAACAGCAGCAGGTCGCTCCCCAGCAGCATCTGCAGCTCTCGGAACTTCCAAAACAGCACGCGCAGGAACCGCTCGCGCTCGCTCGCCTTCGGGCCCCGGATTCCTGCAGCATCCTCCGCCTCGGATGACGTCAGCTCCTCTTCTGACGCAGCCTGAGCCTCCGGGCTGATCTTCAAGCCCGACGCCGCAGTTGATGTCACGCCAACGGACTGTGACGTCACACCCCGCTTCCCGAGGGCGCACCCCGGCTTGCCCCGCTTTCTGCTTCCAAAGCCCCTCCGCTTTGCAGGACGTGGCTTGTCGTTATGCTGCCACGTGGCATCATCCTCGCCGTCCTCAGTTTGGAAACCGGTGCTGTGGGGGCTGCTCGGGCAGACCGGGCTGTCCACCGTTTCTACATACGGCTCGCTTTGCGCCCTGCCCCCAGAGTAAAACTGCCAAGCACGGCAAGGGTTCTCTTGGGGGGATTGGGATGAGCCTGGCTCGGAGTTGGAACTAAACGAAGGGGCTGCGGAGGCGACTGAATGGTGCACGAACTTGTAGAAGAGGTCTTTGTTCAGAGTCATTGTTTGGCTGCTCTGCTTGGTCTTGCTTTCCACGGCGTCAGGCCTGCACCGGGAAAGGTAGGCTTAGATACCCCGGATACTTTGAAGCTCCAGCAATCAAGGTTTGCGAAACGTTCACGAGAGACGAAAGACAGCACAAGTTTGAAAGCTTCATTTGACACGTATGAGGAGTCTTGCATCATGTGCTCTGAGGAGGCTGACGCAAACAGGAGGAACGAGTTGTTTCAAGCGAGGCCTGAGACAGTAGCATTCCAGAGTACACGAACGCGACGAATGACTGATTCGAAAGAAAGAGGCGAAGGCCTAGTCTTGAGTGGGAGTGTTGTTCCACAAACTCCCCCGGCGCTAGCTTTCAATTCCCGGATACGATGTCTCGACGGATACGAACGCTCGACTCAAATCACCAAGATCTTATCTGGCATTCGTTAACCAAGTGGTCTTACAATGGAATTATGCAGGTGTGCTTTTCCAAGATGGCCTGATGAACACAGAAGTCAAAGAAGTCCTTACGCTACAACCCTAACAGACGATGAAACCGAGGCTCACAGAACGGGCGTTTGAATGATAATCCTGCGGCTTACTCACCCGTCATTGAGGATCAGCGTCTTGCCAATCCGATGAACTGCCACGGAGATTGGCGCTTTGCTGTAGGGCGTCTTGAAGATCTGCTTCATCACACTGGCGGGGGCGATGAAGTCGATCTCGTCGCCATAAGCCGCCAGGCCATTGACCACCAGATCCTCGCACTTTTTAGGGAGGGGCTGGGCCAGGGAGCGATTGCTGCAACTGCGGCAGAGATCTGCAAAGCAGATGATTCGAGAAAGTTCTTGAAAGGGTTGAAGCAGAAAAAGATGGGGAGAAAACAAAGGAGGATCGGTATTTGTGGAGATAACACAGTCCAAATGCATCCCGAGAACTAGTCCTCACGTTTACCAGTTCCTTTGCGCATAATCTTTCACAACCACGCAGCAAATATGGCTTCAAAGTCGTTGAGGTAAGAAACTACTGTACCCAGGTCAAAACTTGAGTCGAGTGGGACTAAGCAACAACTGACACCCTTGACCTCGCGCTTGGAGAATATTGCGCCGAAGGTGTGACTTGCCGTCCTCTATTGGACACGGTATTCTGTGTTATATACCATTTTCCGTTTCCTTTGCTCTACTCCTTAGGAGAATGGACACCTGACTCTCAAAACTGCTCAACTTCAAAGTGGGCGTTCGAGTTGCAAAGTGAACGAGAAGTGAGAGAGTAGCAAGTTACAAGGATATCACACGATTACTGGTCTCTCTACTTACGCTCTTGTAAGGTTCAAGACTGGGATGCTTGAGAAGACATCTGGTGATACAGAACGACACGAAAAACAGAGAGAGTTTCGAAGTGTAAGAAACAAGCACGCCTAGAGAAACCACATAGGAAAGCGGAAAGCTCACCATCAGAGTCCCTGTCTGGCGCCTCTTTATCCGTCAGCAGTTGCGGATCGAGTAGCACCAGCTCCTCCCGTTTCAGCCAGTTGGCCGGCAAATCGTTCAAGTCCATCTCGGCAGGAAGGAAACTGTACCGCAAGCTCACGGAACTGCAGAGAGATGTAAGTTCACGTCAGCAGGAGGGATAGATGACAATGGCTGTAATAATCATGCCACGAGCATGATTCTTTTTCCAAGACCGTGATAAAGCAAGGGGTGCAACAACCACCTTAGGATCGTCACTTCTTAGCGTCCGTGTTTGCAAGCGAGGGTGTATCAAGAAAAACGTCCAAGCTGCATATTGAAAGATACTTTGGATAGTTGCAGTTTGAACCTGAGGTTTGTGTAGTCATTGTACTGATGTGACCACCTAAATTCTACAAAGCTCTTTCCCCAAACATTCATGAATGTGTTGTGTGCTAACAATCTTGCATGCTATGAGGAACTTCCAGAGCCCTGAGGCTGATTGGAACAGGTTTGACAGTGTGGTGGTGATACACCACCACTCACACAGTCTGTCTTCCTGGATCTCAGTGGAAGATACAGGAAGTGAAAGCAATTGATCGAGCTGATTGCAATCCCATTGATCGTTTAATGCTAGGCCCAGCAGGTTCAAAGAATACTCCCCTAGGTTGATAATCTAGTTTACTGTTGTACTTCTGTGTTTCAACACAAGATGATGTGACACAAATGTCCCACGTCTCAGACTTTCCCTTGTAGCCTGAAACCTGAAACTAGACACTCTTGCTCCGCATAGTGGCAAGCGCAGCTAGATTGCCAATGCCACACTTCTTTTATCTAACTTGAAGAGACATATACGACTTGATAAAGTCAACAATAAGAATCACAGGTCGCTCACCTGTCGCTGACGACTTCCATTGATGATGCAGGCACTATGACCAGCTCCTTCGACTGGCCCTCCGTTGCAGTTGGAACGGGCACCGTCCCACAAAAGAAGCCAGGTTGTGGGGCGATCAAAGGGAGAGACGCCACAGGGGAGTCCATGGTTGATAAGCTACCAGAAGCTTTGTAGGTTCACCAGCCACCTAATTGGTTTAAGCAAGCAAGATCCCAAGTACAAGAAGGCTCAGGACAGGAGGAACTTAAAGACATCACGAGCTACTAGAATGATATGGGTTTTGGTGCAAGCACGCAGCTCCTTCACCGTCGATTGTCATGCAGCCAGAAGCAATGCTGGTGCAAGCGAATCCTCGAGATGTAGTACCTGCAGCCTATCCTAGCTTGCTTGACTTGCTTTTGACAACCTGTGGCGCCACACAAAAAGCCATTGTCCACCAGCCACCATGAGAACTTTGAAGGTCCTCCAGGGTGAAGTTAAGAACCTTCCAGAGCTCATTTCACTGTCAAGAAAACCCTCTTCCCTTCCAAACGGGTTTTGTCGGAGTTTCTGACACTTCTAAGACGTTTGCGGGAAACCGGTTGGAACGTTGTGCCGGCGGAAATGCTCGGCACATAATCTTGTGAGTGATTCAAGCCACCTTTACATTTTCACGTTTTGTCGCCGTTCAAAAGCACGATTTTCCGGTGTCAATGCTTGTCAATACCGGTTTCATACCCTAACAGTGGAGAGGGTCACGACTCTTTCAATTTCTCCAACTTCTGACCCCCTTTCTTTGCTGATTTGTCGTGCACAGCATAGCCCCATCTTGATTGATGATCAATCGGATTGCGAGGTGAAGACTGGTTACTTTCAGCAGGTGGGAGCCTTCGCTTCCGGTACATCGCACTCGCTTTCACAGCCTGGTGTATCTAGTGGAAGCTTGAAAGATGGAGATTGCATATGCTTGATGGAGCCTAGTTCATAGCTATCGTTTCAGTCTTTGAGAATGGCGTGGAGATCGAACTGCTGTCGCGGTGCTGAAGGAGCTAAGGAAACCATTGGAGGGTCCACTTCTGCATCAAGTCAATGTGTGCAACTTCGGCAAATGGTGGTGGAGGCAGAAGGGAGTGACAGGCCGCTGGACCTAGAGTTCTTGCAGGAATCACTGGCAGAAGCAGCCAGAGTTTCGCCAACAACTAAAGGAGAGGTGAGAGAGACTACCTGAGCTTAAAGTCCCATTGTCCCAGAAAGATGCATTTGCCTATGCAGATGTACACACCGTACTTTTCTGCAGTATACTTTTGCCTTTGAATGAGCTCGTAATTTGAACTTGAAGAGCTATCTCAGTGAGTGTCTAAAAGCGGGATTGTTGGTCTTCGTGGCCAGAGGTGCGTTTTGGAGAGGCAAGTACTGGGGCCAACCACATCGGTGAACGCAGCTTGAATCTTTGACTCCGGCGCTTGGAGCACCAATTTGCTGAGCGAGGCTTCTGATTAGAAAGTTTGGAGCTCACCACCTAAGTTCTCTTTTGCGCAGGCCGTACAACTCCTGGCAAGTCTGGCAGCTCTTCTCATCAAGCGGTGTCCAGCATCGTCGACGCCAGCGGATGTTGAGATGCTCGACACATACTCCAAATTGGTAAGTCTTTCATTCTGCCACTCAAAAACAAGCTTCCCTTGCTAACCGCAGCAGCTGGTTGAGCATGCTTTTTGAAATTGTAGTGAAAGGGTCCAAGTGCACTAATGCTTGGCCAATCTGCGCAAGGATGATGTTCTGTGTAGGGCAGTCTGCCGTGCATAAGAGACGTCGTCAAGAAGGAGCTCAATTTTTGAGAACAGACCGTCCATAATGCAAGACCTTCATCATTGAACATTGATCTTCCAGGCCTCAAGTCTTCATTGCAAATTTCGTCTAGTGGATCAAGGCAACTTCTTCATGCAGGTGGCTGACACAAGCGCACGCACCCCACTGACTGGTCCATCAGGGGAGCTGTCTGTAGTGGTGTCAGCTCTAGTATTGGGCCTGTCAATCCCGTCGCAAGGCAGATCCCACATGAATGGGATCCAAGCAGTCAGGTGAACCTTTTCTATGTTTGTTTACAATAGAGCCAAGATTTGACCATGAGAAACCCGCTCTATGGGAGAGCTTCTTGTGAACACCTTTAGAACCATTGCAAAACCAGACAGAAGGACTCTGTGCACTTGATGCCTTTTTGTGCTTGATGGCTTGCACCGGTGTGTTCAGCGGGTTGAAAGATAGATATGTCGACTTTGATTTAAAGACGGTATCATGGGAGCAACCGTGAGCTGTCGACAATCAGTAATCTTACTGAAGACCCTCTTCTGCAGCCACATTGTTCAGGAGAACGCTTCGTCGCTCTCGCCAGCAACCATCGATGCCATCGTACAGCACCTCCTTCCTCTCTGCCAAGCTCCCATCTATCCTCAATCTGCTTCCTCCCCCGCCAAGACGAGTCTCTCGAGCAACCGAGCCCGAGGCCGATCATGGTCCTCTGGGGGGGCGGAACGCTCTGCTTTCGAGGACCCCCTGGAGGCGCAGCGTCTGGCGCTGGTCGCTCTTGGCAGTCTGTTCGCCAAGGCAGGAGCACAGCTCACTTTGGACCACTGTTCACAGGCTCTTGAGGTGGGAACTGTTTCTATAGCGGCTTTGATTTGTTGACTAATGAGAATACAAGTTTTGGTGACTTGATCAGCTTTGTGAAGAAAGAGCTAAGTCTGCCTGGACGGTCGTCCAGAAGAGAGTCCCTTTCATTCTCACTCAGCCCGTTCGGAAGTCGCAAAACTCTTGCTCAGTTCCTCAGTTGCATTGGGTCTTGACTCTTGCTCACGAACAGCTGGTACATCAGCTTTCCATACAAGATCGATCGGTTGTCAAAGTTCAGTAGCAAGTAATACACTGATATCAACTTAAACACTTGATGTCGCAGGTGCTCGGAAAGCGATTGGACTTGGCGACGGCTCCAGGACGACTGATGGAAGATCTTGCGTCATCCCGTCTCTACGCAGCCTTGCTGCGATGCCTCCAGCTGGTACTTGTACACGAAAAAGTTTCCCTGGATACCAGGGTAAGGCACAGGCCCTTCTGGATTACCACTTCCATACTCGCTGCAAATGGCCTCTGTCACCGGCAGCTGGCTCTGGATCAGAAGAAGCGTTTGCTCTAGCAAGAGTGGCAAGAATGCAGACACTATATTGGTAGGGACATTGAGAAAGTAAGGAGGCGAGTTCCGTAATGAGCAACCTAAGAGCAACGTTAGTTGCTACGACTGCTTTGGAATCACGAAGCAGCACCTGTGATTTTGCCGCGCTAAATACTCGACAATTCCGGTTTCAGATCGCTCTACATTTTGTACAGGTCGCTTCCCTGGTTCCCTCTCTTCGGCCCTTCTTCACTTACGGCCTTACCAAGCGGCCAGGAAGCGCGTCCACCACTCCCCGGCGCGACCAGCCCTGGCGCCGGGGCTCTTTCCAAGATACGAAAAGCGGCTCAGACTCCGAAGGCGCTCCATCTGCCCGAGCTCTCGCCCAGACTCTCAACTCCCTAGAGATAAGCGGAGACGCCTCTGGTAGTAACAGTGAACGCGGGAGAAACGAGGGAGCCGGACCTGGGCCGGGATCTGCCGCAACGAAGAGCGCTTACGTCCCCCCTCATCTGCGGAAAACACAGCCGCCCCTCCTGCCACTCCCGAGCTCCAACGGCACCCCTACGAAACCCGGGGCCTCGTTTCGCGCCCCTGACGTTGCTTTAGTGTTATCCTCCGAGTCTGAGCAAAGTGACAGCGACGGTGCCGGGGCCGACGGCGACCGTTACAAGGCCTCCAAGGTGCGCATTGAGGCCATGTCGTGCGTGCAGGCGGTCGCGCGCCGGGACCCCAAGGCCCTACACTCTCAGTGGGCCGCGCTGCTCCCCACGCACGGGGCCCTGCTGACAAGGCCCCCCATCCCGCACCTCCTGAACCCGCTCCTCTCAGACCCCCTCCCCAAAGTGCGCCTCGCGGCGGCCGCGGCGATCGGAGCGATGCTCGAGGGCCCGGCGCGGGCGTTCCTGCAAGCCGCGGAGTGGAAGGACGACGCGCGCTCAGGGCCGTTCCTGTCGCTCTCAGCGACGCTCGGGCTGATCGTCAAGCAACTCCATGCGGGGCTGCTTCACAGCGTCGGAACGGAACGGAGCGCGCAGGTGCTGGCCGGGGCGTTCAAGGCCCTGGCGCTGCTCATAAGCGCGGCGCCTTATCATCGCCTCCCCGACGACCTTCTTCCCGACACTGTTAAACAGGTTCACCGGAAGACGCGGGCCCTGCTCGCGAACCAGTTCGCTGCGGAGGCGGGCGGGGCGGGCGCCGCGGCCGTTGCCTGCCTCGGCGCTGCCCTCGGGACATTCACCCCGGTCGAGAAAGTTGCGGATCTGCTCGTAACTGGGCCTCCCGACGCGTGCGGCGCAACCCCCGCGGCACCGAGCTCTCCAAGCCCGCTGCTCGCGGACCTCATAAGCTATTGCCAGCCGCCGACGGCCCCCGCGATCGCGCTCGAGGCGTTCGCGGCGCTCCGGGAAGCGCTCCGAAACTACGGCGCACGCTACGTCGGGCTGTGGCCCGCCCTGTCGACTCTGCTCGGGGGGGCGTTCGGCGGGGCTTCAGCGGGCGTCACTGACGATAGACTGGTTCTGGGGGGCGTGAAAGTGATGGACGAGTTACTGAGGTCTATTTCCGGGGGGGACGATAGCGAGTCGGTGTCCAAGCCCCAGAACCGGGCGGACCTTCGCCAGGGCCCGAAGCAGCTTGCGCGAGCGGAAGGAGGTGTTGCGGAAAGGGGTCAAACGGAAAGCGACGGGAGCGCTTTACTGGTGGTAGCGTGTGCCACGTGGAAGGAGGTGCTGTCGAGGCACGTGCCCTGGTTGTTGGCTCATCAGGCTCCCATGGTGAGACTCCGTGCTTATCAGATTACGAGCATGAGAGAGTGACGGACGTGCCTCTGTGAACTGCAGACTGTTTCCGATTTTCAAGTTCAGAAACATCTCAAAACCAAGGACAAGGTTCAGTATCTTGCGCAGTAGCGCACGTATGATCTACAGGCTTCCTGCCGCTTTAACAAGTGACTGCTTTGAAGCGAGCCAGATGTCTTCGACTGCAAGTTGTTCTTGCCCTATTACGCACCCGAGCAATAAAGTCTGCCTTCTAAGCTGTGCCCACGAGGCTCTGAAGAGTCAGCATATGTTGCGTCTACGGATTGCTGTCCGGTGAACTCTCAGCCGGCACTTCTTGGCAGGAGCGCCAGCCCTAGTTTCGTTGGGTACACATATTCCTTCTGGGGCCGGTCGCTCAAGCAGGAGTGGCGGGTCCAGAGAACTCTCCGATGAAATCGGTGATGTTGTGATATTGCTTCCTTGAGCACTGACGCTCCGACTTTTCTCGTTTGGCAGGTCCGAAGCGCGGCTCTGGGGTGCTTGGCGGGCCTCTCACGACCCGTTTTCGAAAGCTTCGATGCTCAGCAGAAGGACTTCGTAGTCCAGTCAGCCGTGAGCTTCGGCGCTCTGTCCCCTTCAATTCCTTGACTGAATTTGTCATCCAAAACTGGATTGCAGAAACGAGTGTTAGTGTGTTGCCGACTGACACATGTCGCCTTTCGTATACCTACAAGAATCGACACCTCAGACTAGTACGAAACCGTGATGAGGATTTAGCTATTGTTTTGACTTTCGAAAACGTCACTCACGTCGAGTTTCCTGAGCAAGCCCCTTGACATATTCCTCCACGTAAATCACACCGCTGCTGCGATTAAAGCACCTGAAAAGTTCTTGCCCACTTTGTTTTTGGAACAGCGCCCCACAACTTCTGTACATGTTGTGAATGTTAGCGAACCAGAAGTTGGTGGTCTCTGTACAGGCTAAGGCTTCCCAGGATCCAATACCAGCCGTCCGATCTGCCGCCTGCCGCGCCGCCGGCGTCACAATCAGTTTCCCGTTCGTCCCTGACCGACACCTGCTGACGCAAGCAATTCTGAAGGGCGTCAGTGATCCAGTCGTTTCCGTGCACATCTTGGCGACCTGGGCGCTCGCCAACCTCTGCGAAGCTCTGGGGGAGCAGGAGGGAGACAAGGGGTCGGCGCAGCGAGGTGGGCCCGTCGTAGCGCTTTCCGTTCTTGCATGGGTCTGTATCCTGAATGTTCGTGTAGCTTGTGCGATCGGGACTACTGGAGCGACTTTATTCTTCAAACTTGCATTCTCCGTGCAATTTCAACGGTGCAAGTCGCTTTACGTATCCGCAATATCTACCGCCCACGAATTGCTACCATGCATATCTCTGCGGCTGTGTTCGTAGAAGAGTCAGTCTCTTTGACTTTAGAATCCGTCCTGACGCTTGGGCCTCGCTTTTCTGGTCCCATAACCTGCATTTTTTGAACCCTCATTCCGCTTTGCCTTCCGCCAGAGCTTGAACTTTGCTTCCGCTGTGCAGTTCCGTCGGAGACCCTGAAACCCCTCACCGAAGCCGCTCTTGAAGCTGTCCGAGACGGGGACAAAGTACGTGCGAATGCAGTGCGCGCGCTCGGGAACCTGTCCGCCGTCGCCGACCTCAGCATCGTCGCCGGCGAATCACAGGGCGACACGTGGATCGACAGGATGGTGGCGGCGCTGCTGACGTGTACGACGACTGGCAACGTCAAAGTGCAGTGGAATGTGTGCCATGCACTGGCGCATTTGCTCGGCAACCGAACAGTCGATCTGGCGTCTGCGAAATGGTGAGACCATTGTTGGCGGGACTCGTGAAGCTATGGTCTATGAGTTGGTATGGTAGTCGGTAGGTCTGACCTGTGTCAGCTGCTTGATTCTGAAACATCTTGAATCTGCAATGTTTACATGTGGTTAAAGTATCAGTGGTTTGGCTGCAACGTGTTGAGAACTCTGGCGTCAGGTGTCAAGACGATGAAGATCGTCACGTGGGCGATGCGGTTAGCTCGTTCATTGAGGCTCTGGATGATCAATGTTTTTTAGCCTTTACGAGGTGGTCAAAGAGGCTGTCACCCGGATGCATTGTGGTCCACTGCATCATTACCATAGGTGCTCTGAAGATTCCGCATGAGCTCACACACAGCCTCGTATATTACGCCGGAAAGTTGCAGGTGCTCCTCTGAACATCCTTGATTCCTCGCACGTTTGACAAGCCAGCTGAACACGCAAGCGCATCGTCTGGTTTTTTTTTTCTTTCCGAAACTGCAATTGGCCTGTGCTTTCATGACACTATTGAGAAAGCTCTCCCCTTTTCCCCCGCAGGTCCCCTTCCGTATACTCCGTCCTGCTCTTGCTTTTGCGGACTTCGACCAACTTCAAGATCAGGATCCAAGCAGCCGCAGCTCTGGCCGTGCCAACAAATCGAAAAGGTAAGCGCGTGTCCCCTGCAATTCTTTTTGTTCTTTTCACGGCTTTCCATGAGCCAAACCGGTAGCCTTCTGAAGCACGCATCTGGTGAGTCTCAAGATACAGTAAGTCTTGATGGGCAATGTTGGTTGACATTAGCGACGATCCGATATTGTTTCGAGAGAAAAAGTCGCAGTCTTGCTGTGGAGGGTGCTGAAGTTCGGGCTAGAAAAAGAGATTGAATCAATCAGGACATCAAATGTGCTTTCTGCCCATCCCTGACTTCAGCCCGCGCTTCTCGTTCAATGCCTCGACTCACTTCGATTTCCGTGTAAAGTAGACGTAGCTTATGGAACTTTTTGTGATGGCCAGATTACGGCATGTCTTTCCCGGACATCGTGCGCTGCTTCGCCGCCACTCTCGAGAGCTTAGAATCGGACCAGGGGGAGCGTCCGAGCGACTTCAAGTACCGCAGCAACCTGCAAGAGCAGGTGATATGCCGGACGGACAACTGGGTTTGTATCGGGGCTGCTTTAGGAGGGGTAACGGATGCCTCCATACAGGCGGTATTGCCAGCGGAGACAGACTCTGATAGTTGCTTGCAGGAGATTGCGGCGACTGAGGACTGCACTTACAGTCTGGTGCGTCGCAAAATCACGTGCGCGCCCTTCAGCGTAGGATACGCAGGTCCTTATCCAATCAAATTCCGAGCAGACGCGTGGCAACGCCGAAGCTTCCCTCTAATTAAGACTTTCTGCAAGAGAATGAGGTCGAGCGTTTCCTTTCTGCACAGGTCTTAGCGACGCTCCTCCACGTGCTGGCCTGTACGGAGCCCGGCGACTTCTCGGCGCTTCGAGACCCGCTGGTAAAGGTAAGCGGATCCGTCAGAAAGCTCTTGTAGCATACTCGTTAGGCCCTGTTCTTGGTTCTGGAGCGAAAGTTCTGGTGTTTCCTCCCAATCTCTGCAGTGTCCAGGACGACATTCGGAGGCCATCGTCGGAAATGTAGGGCCGCCTCTCGTTCCTAGTCACTTTGCGCAATTGTCTCCTTCGCCCCCTATGATATCATTGCGAAAACCCTGAAAGACAGAAGCTGTCTCAGTTGTGTGCGTACCTTCGAATATGCTTCAAGAGATTGCAATACGGAATGTTGCATTGATTGCTTTGCTTACGTTTCGTGCAGCGACAAGCATTCCTTCAGGACTGCATCAGTTTCGCGTGGGCTTCAGTAAGACCCCCCGAAGGAGACGAAGCAGGTGTATCATCTGCAGCAGAGGCAAGGCCCAGAGATCTCGCTGAGACACCCCAAGCAGATGCCACGTGGCAGCTGCAGAAGCCTCCACGTCATCCTGCTGTCGACATCGACGAGCAGCCGCTGCCGCCTCCAAAGAAGGGGTCAATTTCGCCAAAGGGCTTGGGCTCCAGCGGTCACGGGCAGACTGCTGTTTTGTACAACCGGAGCGATGTGGAATTAGCCATAGCTTCCCTTCGAATCATGTATGATCGTAATGATCACAAAGAGGTCGCCGCTATGTACGCTGCGTGTCGTATACACGCGTAGATCAGGAGTAGGCAGGTACAGTCTAAGAGATGAACCTCAATCTGCGAATAGGAACCAAAAGGGAGCCACCCACTATGAAAGCTAGGATTTATTGTTCGCAGATTACTATAAGCATTTTGACCTTTGCATCTTGTCCTGGCTAGCATCGGAGATCTCCGACCAGTGTGCTCCCGCCACCAGAGGTGCGTCTTGCCCGAAGAAACTTTGTTCCGAAGCAAAGTTTCAAGTCTAGCTCGACACGCGAGCATTCCATTCAATGTTCGGTTCGCCGCTTCTAGTAGATCAGAAAAGTAGAGCGCCAGATTGTGTCGTGCGGTGAGGATTGGGAAATTGCATGTCTGGGAAGGCACTCGAGCATTGAGCACTGAGGAATCAACTCCGAATGAATTATTGTAGTCGACGGGAATATAAGTATTGCGCAATAGGGCACCTGACACCTATTTGAAGAAGCCTGGCAGTGGCCCATGGCCTTCTGTACCTGCTCATGACGTCCGGCCCCAAGCCTTTGATATGCACGAGCTTCAACGAATACAATCGTCGTCGGATATGTCTTGCGGCTTATATCCATACCGTATCATTATCACGCGGTGCATCAACCCCATATACTCATGCATGAGTAATCAACAATTGAAGCCCACTGCCATGCTTCGGAGCGCCAGCTCAGACCTAGTTTAATCGGTGTTTCCTATACGTCATGTACAGGTATCATATTCGCTAATTCGAACTTCGGAAGGGCTGACTGCATCTAAGCCTAGCTGTATGGTTTGAAACTTGCACTAATTTAAAGCTCTTGGCTCCGAGTCTCAGCAGACTGAACCGAGCTAGGCTGCCCTGCGCGGGCACAGGTGTAGTCCTAGCTTCTTGCAGAGGTCCAGGCTCGACCAATCAAGGCCCGCCGCCGTGTGAGTCCAGGCATGCATGATACTATAGGCAATCATTGTCTTTCTTCGTTAAGTCGCTGCGCGCATCAGTTTAATGAATCACTTGCATGCAGTTTCACATCTATTATATGCGTAATCTATCGCCTAGGCCGTTATGCAAATTATCTTACAGGCAACACCGTCGATCTTCGAATGCTATCTTTCTACTATTTCTGCCGTTTCTACGTCCAAATCCTCAATCTGCTACAACGCTGAAAAACTCAACCAGATCCTGTAGCCACTTTGCTATCCCAAACTGCACTGATGTCACGTCTAAAATGATACACGTTCCGTACAGTGGTGTTTTCAACCGCCGAGTTAAGCTATGCGTGCCTCATCGGTAATTCCAAAGGTGGAGTATCCTCTTATGTCGACGAACCCGGATGGGCCAATGATCGTATGTCCAAAGTCCGCGAGCGTATCCACTCAGAAATTGTTCAATAGCCTGCCTTTACACGACAAATGTTATTACCCGCTCATCTAATGTTGAAGTGTTTGGTTGCTCGGCACCTTTGTAGGGCGGCAGGTTCACTGCTAGCGCCTGAGCCTCTTTGAGATACCTGCAGATGACTCAAAGGGGCTCAGATTGTATAGTAATGAAGATGCGCAAAAGCTTGGTACAGGTAAAGCACGACAGGCAGTGACATCTACGACATACAATGGCTGTCAAGAAACCAAGACGACCTCACGGTTACTCAAGGCATCAAGAGCAATCTCCACCGGAAGCATCCGCAGATTGCGTACTCAATTACATTACAGGAGCGGGATATTCTGTGCCGGAAGACTGCCGCAGTGAGAAAAGACGAAGGCAGTCCGCCAATCGCAGCTTTCTTGGTATCCCACGGCGCAGGCTCGCCTCTCGAACGGCCCTCGTGCCAACCACTTCAAGACAGGCATGCGCAAATCATGACGCTCCCTTAGTGGCCCTCAAAGCTCACTGAATTGCGTCAGATTCAATGATGCTTAGTGGCTACGTTCTGCGGAAAAGAAAGGAGGAACAAGAAGAGAAAGAATCACTCAGAGGCTGTAACCCTTACCTCGCATAAGGCGGCTGCGCCCGCTCTTCCGCGCGCGCGCTCAACGCGTCTCCGCGCGCCTTCCACAAGCAGGCTGCCTCGTCAACCGTCACCGGGTCGAACAGCGACTGAGACTCCCGCTGGAAGCCCTTGTAGCTCCAGTTCCCGCTCTTCCAGTCGAAGTCGTAGAGCGGAAGGAAGCGGACGCCGTACTCGGCGACAAACTCGATGGCGGCCAGGATGAACTCGAACTCAGCCTGCAAAGGGAACGGACAATGAGGTGAGGTTCCAAATTGATGTCAAACAAATTACTGCTCATCTTGCTAGCATCTTGGTTCAGCTTTGAAGAGGGTCGCATATATCATTTCTGGATCGAAGGCCCTCTCAGCGCGCCTCAGAATTGCGTTGTGGCAAAAAGTGGTACGAAATCGGCAATGATTTATTTAATGTTTTGAGCATTCAGCAGAGTAAGTGCTTCTCATTTTGACAGTAACTTGACAATAAAAGACGCTAAAGGAAAAGATTGTCAGAAAGGGTAGTGCTCACTGAGTTGATCCGGGGCGTCCGAAGCGTCAAACGACCACGTAGACTGAGTGAAACTTAATTTGTAGTGAGACAAGTTTCGTCGTGCTGACACCGGGTAATACATCTATGGCCGACACATTAGCAAATGGAAAAACTGGCTTATGACGTCACAAACCTGAGTGATGAAGTAAGCAAAGCCCAAGCGGGTCCACCCCGGCTTGACGGACTCGTTGCCGTCCGCGATCGCCTCCCGGATGGCTACGGACAGCTGGCGGTCAACCTGCCAGGGGCGACCAGCAAGTCAGGAAATGGCCTTTCTGGTCGCCTGCTTTCACTCCAGAAGCATCAACGGCCTTAAATCTTGTACTACGTTTGATCTTGTCGGGCAAATGCTGCCATCGTTTGAGTGCAAACGAAAAAGGCGAGTTCGAGAAGGCCAAAGGCCTGACGACCGGTATACATCTCCATTGAGGAAACGATTAGGGGCGATAAAGCCAGTTTGGACTGGCATCCTCTATTCCCCGGGTGCTGGACTCATCAGACTTTTCTATTCTCACATTCATAAGCGCGTGCCCGTATGGCCCCGCGCAAGAGCAGCCGCCCCGCGCCTGGATCCCGAACAGGTCGTTGAGCAGGTTGACCACAAACCGGCCGTTCAGCGCCTTTCCGTTCCGCCCGGTGGTCGACGTCGAGAATGGACGGATCAGGAACGACAGAACCGCCAGCCTCGGAACCTGCAAGAGGAGTTGCTGCTGACGTCAGCCGGAGTTCCTTTTCGGCGAGTCCTTTATGCTTGTAGTGGGCTTCGTGACACCGAGGGTCTTCCATTTGTGAATCTCGGAAGTAAAGAGCGGAAAGATCGGGAAGGAAAACGTCAAGCTAACGACTTAGCACGAAAACAGGGGTTTGAAGTGGTCTTCATCTAAATTGAACGAACGGTCTGGTCAGGCCATCATTCTGCGCGTGGATTGGTACGGTCGACGCTTCGCGGTGGTTGCGCTGTGTTAAGTCATTATCTGCAGTGCGCTAAAGCTGTATGCGGCAGAAAGTTTTGAAGGGAAAGCGCAGCTTTGAAACGGGGCATTTGTCTTTCCGCAGGCTTCGCGGTTGTGTATGGGGAGCGCCCGCTCCGAAATCGTCGACAAAACGCAGAGTGATTCAGCGACCAAGAAGATGCGATCCTGGCGCCTAATCTACGAACCAGTGAGTGCCAATTTCGTCGCTCCCATACTGAGGTAACGTAGGAGCCTCACCTCGCAGTTGCCAAGCACTTCCACGCGCGGGTTGCGCGCCAGCCGCTGCAGCGCCGCGCGGATGAGCGCGCCCTCCGTGCGCTCGATGACGTCAGCGCCGATGCACTGCTTGACCCAGAACGCGAGCGCGGCGCGCATCTTCTGCAGGATGGCGGGCGTGCCCGCGTCCTCGCGCTGCTCAATGTCACTTATGTACAGGGTCTCCTGGAAGATACGAGGAATAGGAGGGTTTCAGGATTTAGGATTTGGGTTTAGGAATTCAAGATCAGGGTTAAGAACGGGTTTAGGTTTAGGAAGTTTTGGAGGATACGCTCCGTAACGGGTGTGCCCGCGTCCTCGCGCTGCTCAATGTCACTTATGTACAGGGTCTCCTGGAAGAATATCAGAAATGGGAGGGTTTCAGGGTTGGCTATTGAGGGTTTGGCTTTAGGTTTACCGGGTCTAGGATATTCTGAGTAGTTTATCACGTCGTGCTTACACATTTTGGGGCATTGCTGGGTGAAAGGTGGCATGGCTGGCGTGCCCGCGTCCGTGCGCTGCTCGATGTACGTTATGTACAGAGTCTCGTAACAGAACTCTAAAATGCGAGGGTTAAGCATCTCTAAGGTTGAGGGGGTCTAAAGGTCATCATGGCTTCAGACGTATCGTTACCCTTTGACTAGGGTCTTTTCGCTATAAGCCTGACTCGAAACCGCAAAACGAAAGCAATACTCGTACATCTTGTGAAAAATGTACGGTACTTACGGGATACAACTTTAGGGGTCTAGGAACATCAGCATTGAAGGCTTAACGTGCCGCGAACTTCCTTTGAACAGCAAGCTTGCGTCTTTCATAGCACCCAAAAAGATCAGCGAGTATTTTCATAAGGAGAGGAATGCTCATTGCGGCCACTTAACATTGTGCGAAGATCTGGATCTGGTCTGCAATGCTTCGGATGCATATTTTGAAACTGGACCAACGTTGCAGAAGGAAGATTGCAGGCAACACTTGTCTTACCGCTTCGCTCTTTCCGTTCACGTGCGTCCGGAATCCGCCCTTGCTCGTGAGGACAGGGCGTCCTCGAGCGCTTACCGTTTCTAGCTTACTCTCAGCAAATCGGGAGTAGTTAAGAGGTTTTAGAAAGAATAAAGTATTAACTTTTTGGTTTAAGAGTGGATGACTCTCACCGCTTCGCTGTTTCCGTTCACGTAGGTCACGGTTCCGCCCCCGCTCGTGGAAGGCGCCGCGTCCGCGAGCGCGTACAGTTTCTCGCTCACGATCAACACGCCAGACGAGCCGGGGCCCCCGACGAACTTGTGAGGGCTGATGAGAAGGGCGTCATATCCGTCGGCTTGACCCGGCCTACAAAAGAACGCATCCAGAGCTCAAAGTTAGCCGGCTGGTCACTTTGAAAGAAAATCGCTTCTGACCATAAGCAGGTTTCATCACGAGACATACTGTATACTGCCTTGCACCTGGCAAAGATAGGTGCAGCAATTGGAGTAGTCTGGTACAAAACTTAGTTCCGAAGACGAGCTGGCCGGAACAATGGAAAATATTCGGTCAAAGCAGCCTTGATGGCCACTTTGAATCGGAAGCTGTCTCACCGCATGTCCATGTCCACGTAAGGAGCGGCGGCGGCAAAGTCGAAGCAGGCGTACGCCCCGTGCGCGTGCAGCAGCCGCGCGAGCGCGCGCGTGTCCGTCAAGATCCCGGTGACGTTGCTGGCGGCGGAGAAGGAGCCCAGCTTGGGCCGGCCTGACCACCTGGACAAGAGTAGGGCGTCAGGTGAGAGGGAAATAGATGACGAGAGGATGTTTTGTAACGTGAACGGCAGGACTGAAGATATCAATCCAAGGAGAACTCGTCCGAGAGATTGCGGGCATCTGAGTGGTCATTTCTGACGAGAAGAGCTTTAGCGAAGGACATGTCGTAACAAGTAGCGCAAGATTTGCAAAGCGTGTGGCAGGATTTGACATGCTTCAATGGGAGAGACGTGCTTGGCCGCTCGTTTCTACTACGCAACAAAGATAGAAAAGATCTTCCCGAGAGCTGCTAGTTTTACAAAACCCAGATCTAAAAGACGGTTTCATGCGCTCCTGAGTAAAATTGCTTGGACGTCTCTCCGCCCCTTCAAGTTGGATGGGCACGTCTTTCTAGAGAGCGGTAGAACACCTTGCGACCATCGACCGTGTTGCGACTCGGAGTCTACGACGATCAAAAGAGCTTACCGCTCATTTTCGAGCTCCTTTTCCAGATAGGCCATGTCCAGCAGCCCGTCTTCGGACAGCGGCACCTCGACGACGTCAGCCAGGCTCTGGCGCCACGTCAGCAGGTTGCTATGGTGCTCATAAGGCCCCACAAACACGACCCACCGTTCTGAGGGTTGCAGGGTGGCAAGGACACGCGCGCGGAGCGTGCTGGGAACGGCTATTCCCATTATCTCCTGGAGAATTGAGAACGCAGGTGTGAATATGCTCTATGCGTAGAGAAAGGCGCTAAGTAGTAAAAGCAATGGACGAAGGCGACAGAGCGTCAGAGGAAGAGCGCTCCTCCTCTACTCTATTTCGCTTCTTTAAGCTTTCTTTTGAAAAGCTTGAACGAGCCACCCTTGTATGTGTCGAAGCAAGCCTGCGATCACGCACAATTGATGGAACGGATGGACCACCCGATGACGTGGCGTCTTGAGTAGAGCCAGTCTGGGGAGAGAACAGATGGTGTTCATAGTAACGAAGAACAGAACGAAACTCAAGGCTACAAAAGGAATTCTCGTTACCTGGAGCCGCTTCACAGCTGCGGTGCATCCACTGCCGCAGAACAGGATCTTGTGCTCAGGCCCTGCTTGCACGCACTCCTTGATGTACTCCCCTGCCTCATGGGCAAAGTGCGTCGTCCGCTGTCCACATGCACTATCCTCTGTGTGAGTGTTCCCTGAAGGATGCAGATCAAAGGATTGTGACGGTGCCCTCCCTTTTCATTTCATGTACCACGGGTAACTAAAAGGCCGATGTAGTCCATGAGCAGTCTCAATCAAATTTTGGACCTCTTAATTTCAATGTATTTATGGCGTTTTTTGGTAGAGACAGATGTGGCAATCCCCGCTTTTTCCTCAAACACTTAAGGAAGCAATCATTCGATCCGTGCCTTCCCTTTCATACCAAGACTGTAAGAAGGTTGACGGGAGATGCTGCCGGAAGTCGGTAAAGAGAGTCTGTCGAGCGGTCTATACCATAGAGTTGCTTGCTCCGCAGCGCGGAGACTTTTGCGAATCCCCCGTGAGGCAGAATGAAAGAAGAAATTCTGAAGCCAGAGGTTTGCTTTGCGGCAACCTCTTAGCAGTGATTGCTCTCAGGATAGCTTCAACGTGCTCACCATAGAAAGGCAGCACTCTAGCTTGTAGCAGATCCTCTACGTACTGCAGGCACCTCCCTGAGGCAATGTAGTCTGTGTATGTCATCTGGCGTGTGCCAAAAGGGGTCACAATTTCGGCAGTGATACCAACCACCTGCTGTCGAAGCCAGCCAAAGAGGGCCTCTCCTTGCAAGCTAGCTGGTGAAACCTGGTCAAAGAAGGAGTGTATCGATCACAAAGTGAAGATACTTCAATTACTAACTCCAGCGCAGTGTCCGAATTATTTCCGGGCTGAAGATAGCAAAGGCCTGACAATTGCAACTTTTGAAACACCTGAGGTGGTTTATAGGTCCCCTGCGGTGCTTCGATTTCACCATTGACAGAAACACTCTTGAACAGCACACTTTTCAGTCTCATTGAAGTGGATATTGTCATCTCTCTTCTTCAATGCGATTACAAGAACGTGACAGATGGTGTATTGCGCAAGACTGGATTGTATGTCAGCTCCAATGATCGATCAGGAAAAGCAAGTTCTCTGAAGTGATTAAGGTGTCAAGCATTCGAGCTCATACACCAGAATATACTATAGTATAGTGGTTGTCTATAACTCTGCTAGTCTCTAGAAGCTGGTGCGGTGATGACTACCAGGATTCCAGCGTCCAAAGGAAACGACCAAGGGAATGAACGTGCTCGCCATCAGCGTGAATGGAACCCTCTGAGAGCACACTTTTCTTGCAAATGGAGATCTGGATCACCTGTGAAACCAAAGTGAGATCTCAGATGGAAGAGTTGGGAAAGTGCAGGGATCCTACCACTACAGGAGATGTTGAACTGATGATGTCAGCTTGGCCTCTGACACCTCCGCTCAACTCCCTATACTCTTGGCCAGACGGGTTTGGATCTTCTTCGTGACCTCCAGCAGCAGTCTCCTTTGGCATTTTGCCTGCCGTAGTAGAGGAGCCAAGGGTTTCGAAGAAGTATGAGGAAGCAAGGGTCTCAAATGCAAGCCGTCCTGAGCTCCTCCTACTGCTTGATATGCTACTTGTCGTAAGGTTTCCATCTGCAGCCTCCCCTGAAATTGACCTTGACAACAAACTCCACCCGCACTTTGGACAGTGCCTTTCGCTCTGAGGAACTGTCGACTGCAAAGCATGTCCGCATGACTCATGTCTTTCGCTCGAAAGTGCACCGCCATCCGCTTGGATCCTTCTGTTGCTAGCTTCACCAGCCTGCTGCTGTGTTGCATATTGCAAGGCTGCTGTGGTTAGACTCTCAGACCGGTACAACGTGCTCCCGTGCTGGGGAAATCGACCCGGCAGCACGCATCCTCCGCTGCTGCTGCCAGGAGGCGCCACAAAGCTCGACATCCAAAAAGCCCAGGCGGCGCTGGGTTTCTTTGACGCCATCTTCTTCTCTGTGATCACAGCATTGCCTTTTGTTTCAATCGACATTCCCATCCTTCCTGCCGTAGTCAAATGCTGAGCAGTGAATACAGCATCCGGTGCATTGAGCGAGGCTGTGCCGCCTCCCTTGAGCTGAGGCAGCGCTGGCGAAGTTCAAATATGTTGGAGGCTTTGTTAGAAGCCATTTGCAATCACCTTTTTGAGCCTCTTTGTCTCCATGCTTGCCCTATCTCAGGCTTTCCAGGGTCCAGGGACTGAGTGACTCAGACAACGACCCCTGATTGCGCATGATGCTGCCACAGTGCTGGTGAGAGCTGACGCAGCCGCGCCCAGTGGTGACACCGAGATCGAGATGGACAATCAGGCTTGTGACGCCCGTGTTCAAAATTTGATGCATGATGCCGTAATGCATGGTCTTCACTGCATTGGAGTCCAAGGCTTAAAATCTACCTAGTATGCATTGTACAGTCTTCACAGCATTAGGTACCTAAAGCTTGTTCGATCAATGCATTTCTAGCACTACCGGTAGACAGTAGCCTGAGGACTACAGGAAGTACCCAACACAACCACTACGGTATATCAAAACTTCTGCTGCTGCGCGCGCTGTTCTCCAATCAAGAATTGCATCCGTCGATCACTATGAATGGACGGTTTCTTTTGAAGCGCACCTGATATCAGCTTGCATGCCATAGCCTCGCTGAAGCCTGAACATGGCCATGTTGCCTCGCCTTGCTTCAAATTGCCATAAAAAACAGGGCAAACAAGTTACCAACGACAGAACCTCATGAGGCAGGAGGCGCCATGTCTCTATCCGTTGCCTTCGAGCTTGTGCTGGCGAGGGTGGAGGACATCAGTGACAGGAATGCCTGCTCCCTGGTCTGCAGAGATGCTAGCGTTGCAGAGCGCCAGACACGGCAGCATCTGCGCCTCAGATGCACCAAGCGACATATTGAGGTTTTGCCAAACTGCTTCACTGCCGTGAAGTTCCTGGACCTCTCTCATGTCCTTCCAAAACAGGGAAACTTTGATTTCTCAGCCCCGCAGCTCGCGCATTTGGGGGAGTGCTTTCCGGAGGTTGGAAAGTCTTACGCTTTTCTGTGATGGGGCCGATGCTTGGGCAAAGACAGGAGAGCCGCCGTTCATGGGCGTTTGGCCCAGGTTGAAAGAAATAGCTGTCACACATCCTGAGGGTGGGAAATGGGATCACCATATTAAGGACACTTCTGCTGCCCCCTTCTTGAGCATCCGCCCCCGTTTTTGGAAGCCTCTGGTCCTCACCGGCATTGGGGAGCCCCGGAGACTGCACTTGAAAGAGCTGTACCTCAATATTCTGTCGGAAGAAGAGCTGCAGCGGCTGGCTCAAATGGATCTCTCCGTGACCGAAACCCTCGGTTTCGGGTTTTCAATCGATAGCTCCGTTGCCTTACTCCGCGAGGTCTTGTCGCCGGCTAGATTACCAGCTCTGCAGACCCTGGAGCTTTGGTTTGCAAACGATGGGCCAGAGGAAGACGACGACGAAAAAATCACAGTAGCGAGCCTCGGGGATATTCTCAGTGGCATACCTCCAATCAGATCCTTCAGCTTTACTCTGAGTGAGGAGAGCTCGATCTCAAGCATTCCCTTGTGCTCAGCATTGGCAGCAAGCCTCCGTCATCTGGAGATCGATCTTGAAGAAGTAGACTGGATGCAGCAGCCGGCGTTTGACTTTTCTCCGATCCTCAACTGCCGGGGGCTAGAGAGTCTGAATCTGTACCTGGGCGACGTGGACGTAATCTCAATAGAAGCGCAAGTTTTGTCCATCGCAAGAGAGTGTTCACAGTTGACAAGCCTAGCACTCCGATCGCGGCAAGATGTTCGGCAAGGTAAAAGCGCAAAGTTCTTACAGCGCTTGGCAGCAGCAGCCCCGTCAACCCTGGTTGAACTCAAGGTGCTATACAGAGTGTCCTACCAGAAACTAGTAAAAGGGCTATCAGCTCCGTTCAAGCCCTTTAATGAGTCTCTAAGAAGCCTAGCTTGCCATGTGAATGCCCTTGTTGGAACAAAGTTTGTGTTTCGCGGCTGGGATTGCCTAGAGCACTTGACCTTGCGGTGGGATCCTGGAGAGTTACCCTTGTTTGGTTTAGGGTTAGGACCTTCAAACCAAACAGGCAATACGGGGTTGAATCGGAGGATCAAGATCGTGTGTCCCTCGCTAAGGAGCCTCACCTTTGCATTCGCTTCTCGTGTCGAGCTAGAGTTTGGGGGGAGCCACAAACAGCTCACCAGAATAGTCCTCAGCCGTTCCGATGGGACGACGATATCCCTCAAGAAGCAATCTATGGCCAAAGTGAGGTTCAACAACTTGTCAAGTTGGCAGAGAGTATAGGAAGCTTGGGTAGCATAAGCAGCCTTTCGGTTGAGGGGGACTTTAAGGAAGACGTGTACCTAGACCCACAACTCACGAAGGCCCTTGCCAAAATCTCTTCGTTGAGAGTCCTGAAGCTAGGCGCGGTGAGCGTGAAGAGGCTGCATTTCGCCCCTCTTTTGGCTTGCCCATCTCTGGTGGAGGTGGATTTGAAGGCGGCTCTTGCCAACCCTCTTTTCGACTCTTATGAGAAGCTGTACGGCCACGAGGTACCTTCTGCAGCTCTGCCAGAGGTAAGCCAATGCCCCCAGTGCATGTTGGCTTGGTCCTCCAGTCCGAAATATATCTTGTACCTTTTGGGCAATCGGTTCAAGGTGTCGGGACTCATCAGGTGCATCCCAGGATTATTGAGGTTCATTTGAAGCCTACAATAGCACTGCTTTCACTGAAAGTGGTACACTCAGGCCGGCTCAAAGACGTCACATGTCAATGAACTGTGAGCATTCGTCCTGAACTGCGTCCAGGTCGGAAGCAGTTCTCCATTGGCAGCATCAATGGGCCAGTGGTATCCACTTGCATCTCTAAGCTCACCCTAATTTCTCCTGATCTATGCAGCTCGAGACCGCGGCCTCCATAGAGGCTGTTGAGAATACAGGGCCGAGAGAATCTGGATCAGCCATGGGCCAAGCTCAGAATAAGCGATACAGATGTTCTGTCCAATAGGGAGTCAGGTAATTCGCCTGTCGTGGCATGTTTTATATGTTTGGCCGTAGTGCACGTACAACCTACTAAATCGGTGTACGTTGGGGTTTATTAACGGTATTGCAGGCGGAATAAAGCAACAAAAGAGGCTGTGTAAGTACATCCGTGATTGAGTGTTTGCAGGTTCTAGGAGGCGAAATTGGTTGTAGCGCAACTTGAGCTAGCCGCCCTTAAGGAGACGCCGCATGGTCACGCACTAAATATGCATGTTATGTAGACGACAGATTCAATCTCATTGATGCACGGACATGCATGTTCGATCGCGACTCTGATCATGTTGACTTGTAGTTCGATTATATAAGTGCATGTATACTATCCAAGCAACCTTACAAGCGACCGTCTTCCGACGTCCATGTCGTGGCATCATTGCATCACATGCACGATCCGGACTAGCAAGCCTCGCGTATGTGTTTGCGACTCGCCGCAATGGAGTATAAATTACTAGCGTCATGGCTGATTGTCCGCCAACAATTAGTAAGGGTCGGCCTTTTCATAGAATCACCAATCATGATCGAGCCAGTCACTCGGCAGCTTAGCTGTGTCTTCTGGTCGCGGAGCTTTCATCTACCGGAGTGCAGATGAGAGCCGTCACTGATTTGCCACGAACACAGTAGTGGCGTTGCAATCTGACTAGGAAAGCCGATCGTGCATCTTTCCGGGCAGCCTGAGGAGCGCACCTTTTTCGTCGCACGTGCTCACAATGTGCATTTCTCCTGCTACACCGTTGACCACGCGTGGGCCGGTCATTGCTCCACCGCATCACTTACACAATAGTTTCTGGAAACGGTCCGCTCCGTAAAAGCTCCAAAGTCGAGGCGCGGCGTCCAAGCCCCGACCTCGACCGTCTCCGGAGCGACGGCGGGAGGAATGTCCATCAACTCGTCCCACTGCGGCTGCATGAAAACCGCCAGCGTGGCGCGCGACACGCCAGAGGCGGACGGCCCGGAGATCCCGCGGACGCAGTGCGGGGTCGCCCGTAGCAGGCCGCCCGAGTGTATTTGCGTGGCCTCGCCCATTTGAAACCCGATGTTCGATGGAGGGATGACGGCCTGGGAAATGAAGATCGGAATGAGACCCTGTCTGCGTTCTTGTGATGTGACCAACCGGGAGCTCAGAGAGGAAAGCACCCCTGAACACTCGGTTTTGGGAACCTGGGTTATAGAGTCTCTGCATTCGGAGAAAAGAGTGCGTTCTTCTAAAGCAGATGTAGAACCCGACCAGGTTGCTTGCCTGTTTGAAGGGGAGAATTGTTAAGCTAGCCGTCCGGATACTTGCAAAGGGACTCGCGCAGTTTCAAGTAGTGGGGGTCGACCGGAACCTCACCCAGACCCTCGTAAATATCGCCGGAACCTATTGACCGCCAAGAACGCTGAGGTTATAGTCCATGGGCTGTATATGGCGACCTGAGCTTTTGGAATGTCCAGCGCCAAAATCAAGTACTACGTTGTCAGAATAGATAGCAAGATGTGGCTGCAAGTAATCTGTTGGTCAACGTGCATCCTTGGAAAAGCTTCTCACCTTGACTAAGGCCCCCTGCCTGTTCCGTATGTACAGCCCGGCCGACGCATCGGGGCACGGGACCTCCTGCCCTTCTCGAAAATACATTGCTGACGTCAATCCTGAGGAAACGAGATAGAATTGTCGGAGATGGCCTCGGTGATCGAAGTGAGAGTGCGAAACAGTTGCGGAGGCCCTCGGAATGAAAGAGCGGCCAGATGACCTAGGTTCGACTGAATCAGGTTGGGTCCGCAGCAGCCGAAGGCGCAGAGAAAGGGGGAGAGGTTGAGATATGCCACGGGGCTGCTGCCATCAAAGCGCACGCCTGGTGCTGACTGTACGTTGGCCTCACAAGAAAGCGACTTCGACGGACAGTGATTCAAAAGAACCGCATCATCTCGCAGTGGTTCCAAAGGACGTTCAGCGAGTCAGGAGGAGTTCCAAAGCCCTTAGCCACCCGTTGCGAAGGGACCTAATGCTTGTAAGGGCAGCGCGCGTGGGCAGTACAGTTGTGCACAGGGAGTCGAAGAAAACAGCCCAGACCTTTCTGTATAGTCAACCTTGCCAGACTGACACAACCGCCCCAGATAAGACAGGCCTTTCCTGAGCAACCAACTTGCCAGATCAATAAGCTATGCCCCCAGATAAGCTATGCTTCTGCCTCTTACCTTTGAGCGAGCCGTCGTCCATGTGCAAGCCCCAGATAAATCAGACCAACCAACTGAGCAGTCAACTTGCCGGACTGATACGCTATGCCCTAGATAAGCTGCGCCCCCAGGGCACGTGCCACGTACCTGTGAGAGAGCCGTGATCCGTATGCCAGCCGCACCAGGAGGAGTCGTCCGCTGCCGCGTCCGGTGGTGGAGCGTCCGACGGAGGAAAGTAGTGCAACAGCCGCGCTTTCGTCGTTCGGGACTCGCGGATAACACGTGTCAGCCTGGCGGCGCCCGCGTGCGGAGTCCTGAACCGGGGCACGGAGGGGTGAGCAGTCTGGACAGGACGTTGCGGAAAAGGGAACAGGGATCGCTGTCTTGATAACACAGAGGAATCGGGCACTCAAACATACGCCGCTTTTGGCTATGTAAGAAAACGTACAGATGCTCTTTGATATAAGCGTCTGGAAGTAAAAGTCTTTCAAAGACGGCACAAGAACGTAAAGCAATTGCTACCCTCCGAGGCAAAAGAGCTAAGTTAGACACACTCGCCGTGTGTGGAACTAGAATACGCACGCTTTTACAGGTGCAGAGGTCACCGTTCCTTTCACATATGAGCTCTTTAACGCTTTACGATTTGCTGTTTGGTAGAATAGTTGCATCCAGATTCGCTGCCCGGCACATACCCAGAAAGAAGTGCTTTCCACGGTCGTTCGGGTCACAGGAATGAACTCCGGAGTCGGGGCTTAAAGAGACTTTCACGTTTGGGGTCTGCTCAAGCTGTGGTCTGAGTCCCTGCTCAGTCCGCATTCACCAGGAGTTGTCGCAAAACATCGCTCACCTTTTCCGCACATACTGGTCGCACTTTTCGGCAAGCAGGAGGCCGACCTCGACAATCAGCCGGCCCAAGCTTTTGAACGCCTCCTCTAGTTCGGGGAGGTCTCGTGTCGGCCACAGGTTGGGGCGACAGTAGGAGGGGTACCTGAAGAAAGAGCACTGACGTCATTTACCGGTTTCGTCGAGAGATGAGCACTCGAAAGCGCGACTAAGCCGCATTTCGGTGTCTGTTGATCTTGAGATTTCGCTGTTTCCCCAAGCCTGATCCAGACAATTCGAAATGCTTTCTCTCTGGCTTTGTGTGAGACCATCTTTGGTAAGAAACGTGTGTAGCAGGGCAGTGCGGATTGACCATGTCATCCAAACCGACTCAAGGTCTTATATTGAGCAGAAAAACAATTAAGGAAGAACAAAGAAACGCTCTCCATATGGAACGTCCCGAATCAAGGTGGAATGTAAGGATTGCCGTGCAAATCAGCAAAGTTTGTACCCATACAAGTCCTGTGTACAAGATTAAGGACGTTTGCTGCTCAATATGTAATTATTGGGGTGCTGAGGACTTCTATCATAAGGTCGAGCGCAAGTCACGAGGCCAGGTCTGATTGGAAATACCAAGACAGAAGGAGCATCACAGGTCCACTATTTCGAGAGAGCCTCACCTTTTAATGAGCTCAGGGTCGTCTGTGGGACGGTCGCACAGCGGGTTTGCATAGAAGGACCCTTTCAGGGTGTCTGGCCGCCCATTCTCCAGAACCTCCTTGCCATGGCTCCACCCAAAAGACCATCTGCGAGATTTTTTATTCCATCAAACTGCTAACAAACATATGACACCTTATACCTGGCAAATATCATCGGTTCATTCTTTATTTCGACTACACGGAAGCACATAGGAGCATCCTCAATCACTTGAGCAGTTTGAAAGATATGTTGACCGGTTGACTGTTAGGAAAAGGCAACTTGTAGAAGCAGGGCTTGTGGGGCGATGAAAGACGACACTGAGCGAACCTAAGTAGAATGAGAACAGCCCCAGATGTTGAGGATGCTGAGAACAGCCCAGACGACACCCTCAAGCACCGCACGAACGAGAACATCAAAGCTCTTATACTGAGCAACTTTCAGGAGGTCTCTCTGTAATTACCTTACCACCATGAACGTGACTCTGATCAAGAAAGAGTGGCGCAAGTAGCATTTGAAAAGATCACACTGGCTTACCTGCTCTCAGAATCCTCAAGCTTAGCCTTGGTCTTCTCTGGCAATTCCGCGAGTCTGAAGGCATACGAAATCAAACTCATTAGATTCACTTCAGACTCACAGTGATGAAAGGATGACAGAGAAAGACTGGCTGAGGAGATCCAAATGCCTGCTTCTGATGATGTTCATGTCAAGAGGTACGTAACACTTAGCAAGGCGGTTATACTTGTTGAAGGGCTTGCGACACATTCCTGAGCAAAGTCACAAGCATCGTGTCCCACATGACAGGAGGCTTGAGGGAAGGGTTTTGACAAAGACTAGTCTGCTGCATTAGCAGAAGCTTTTTGAATAAAGCTGTGCTCACCTCTGAGCAAGCGGAAGGAGTGTCTGTCGCCTCTCAGGAAACCCTGGGACACCAGAGACGCTGCAGATGCCGAGTCCTTCGGGGCCAAATGCAGCTCGGACCTTCTCAGACAGATCTAATGTCTGATCCAGCAACTCCTGATACTCGAATGTGATTAAGGGCGCTTTCATTTTTACCTGGGCAAAAGCTTTCAGCTTCGAAAGTTCTCGCTTGGGAAAAGCTAGAAGCACAAAGGAGTGGGAGTACAACGGCCAAATGGATCATCGACTGAAGACGAAACACCAGGCGGAACAGGGGTTTAACAACGCGGGACTCTAGCGGTGAAAGTAGGAAAAGGGCAGTGAGGATGTATTGCTCAAAGAACCTGATTCAAATTCTGGGATCATTCAAACCACAGGTCAGCTTGGCAAGCTGAGTTGTGAACATCAACCTGAGTCCTGCATGCTCTCTGCGCCTGCTGATTCCTAGAATTCGTTCCTTTTGCAGCATCCATAAAGGAATTAAGTTACACCGAGAAGGATTAGCAAGCTCATTTACAGCGCACTTCGTGCATAGTGTGTTCCTAATTTTTTAAGTGCGTTATGCTTTATGATGCTGACGTTCTAAGGTGGGTCAATCTACGCCACGTCCACCGTCCTTGTGGTTTGCTATGTAAGTACACCGAAGTGATTTCCCTCTATCCAGTGCGCCCACTGTTCAGTGTTCTTGCCTCCTCGCTTGAACCGAGCTGTGTCACTTTCAAACTCCCTAGCTTGCTGCAGCCTTCATTGCTTTGAACAGCCTTCAGGCGTCAAAGGGGAAACTGCTGGGTCTGAACTTTGACCTCCTGATGCAGTGATGGCAGATAAAATTTGTACCGGTTCTTCGACTGGAAGTGCGTC